ACCCTATTTCAAATCGCAACTAATATAAAAACTCTCATGTCAACGTGATTCACTTTGACCAACATTAAATCAAACAAACGACACGTTTTTTTTTTCACTCTTGTACATTGTTTTTAGGTCCCAGGCACTCTCTACTGATAACAATAAGTTCTTTGATGTTATCTTGGTAAAGATTTGTTTTACTTAGTTCATTTGTTATCTATCCATTGATTTAGTGCATAAAAAAGAATATAAAGAAGCTTGTTGTCATAAACGTCTACTTGTAGTATAACGAAGAAAATGATATCAGTGAAACTATTCAACTGTTTGACTCATTTCCCATCTCTGTTGCTTGAACAGAACAGAATATTATCATTGATCATGAAATTTGATCGAATAACATAAACAAAAAATTTAGTTATTAGATTACTAACATCAGTAAATAATTATCTATCATCAAAATTTCCTCTGTTTCACGAGACAGTGAAACATGCTTATAGTTTTTTTTCTTTCTTATTTTTTTTTTGCCAATCCCTATTCATTTATGGATATAAATAAGGAAACATATTTTTAACTTCGCCTATGACTACATTGATACTAAGTCATTTCTCATACATTGATTTTGATAGTAAATAAAAATATTGATTAAAATAATGAATCTTGTTTGAGATTTTTTCAGCTGATAATACCACCAGGAATTTTTGTTTATAGTAATAATCGATCAACTTGATAAAGCAATTTGTTTACGATTCCATACATTTTGATCAAAACTTTTATTTATAACTAGATGTTGTTAATCATTATACAAATTCTATTTGTAAATCATTAATTACAATACTTAGTCTTCTGTACAACGAAATTAACATTTTTTTTTTGAGATTATCACAAAAAATTTCATGGTACAGGCATGTTTCTTCGATATGGAGTACATATAGCATAAATAATAATAAAAAAATGTAACAACATTATCTACATAGATATAAGGGTGCAAATTATCATTGTACTCCTCTAATTCATATATACAGTTAGTTTGTTTTAGACAAAGATGATCAGTTCTTTTTCTTTTCTCAGTTCATTCAGTGTGAACACGAAACTATGACATATCATAAAGAAGATATTGTCCGACTCAGATCGAACTACGAAAAAATTTTCGGATATTGAAGTGGATGTGCAGTCTGAACGTTTTGCAGATTTAAAATGCATTTTGAATGACTTTTTCATTTGGAAGTTCTATAAGAGAGCATGGAAAAGCTTAATAGAACAAGACGCTATTTATCGTACGATATTTTCTTCTGCTTCACTGACTTTTCTTTATTCACATCGGACAACAATGCATAGCGTGTGCAGTCTGTTCAATAGTAATGAAAAGGTCACAGGCTGTATGCATAAGAAAAGAAAGACAAACAAGAAAAAAAAAATTCTATTACATAATCGTGTTATCCTAACTACGGAATATCGGCGAAATATCAAGGACGAAAAGAGATCCGGGATATATCCTTTTTTTCCAAATACAAAATGACGGGAAGGAAAAAAGAATAAAAAAATTAATTTTCTCAAGAGAAAGACAAGAGCGAGCAATATCAGAGTCCGACTTGGATCTGGTTGAGTCACAAAAGTTTGACTCATGTCAGACATTGAAAGAAGACTATTGACTTATCATCTTTCGAATGTGATACCTAATAGTATTTACACTTTAAGTTGATAAGCTTTGTAAAATAGTATATACACTGAATTTTAAATTCTACGTTCTAGAAAACTGAGTTAGCAAAATATCAAATGTCTTTAAGTTATGATTAATAATTAAATGTTTTAATAACATCCAGAAAACGTTTGATTTTCCGTAAAGTCGAATTTCACTCTGATTTTTAAAAAACTATTTTGCAAACGAATTCAGAAATCAACAATAATTTTAAAGATCCTTGAAAGTTAATTTCAATTTCTTAGAAAATCAATTAAGGTTCTATGAAAAAGGAAAACTCAACATTATTTTTTGGAAAATCATTTAAATAATAAGAACTATAGACTCATTGTTTAGTCACATATATAAGTTAATGGGCGGTGTCGAGGCGTCGTTCTTTTTCTTCGACAGCTGCACTAAGTATGAGTCACGTAAAGTGCAGCTAACGCATACTAGTCTGTAGTATAGTAACGAAAACAAGCAATAAATTATCTTTTATGGTTGATACGAGATAGTAAATAATAATTTTTTCTAAAAATATTTCCAATATCTCTTATTATTTTTGTTTTTGAACTCTTATATGTCATTCTTGCATTCAAGATTGATTATTCACTTTGAGATATTTTTCTTATGATAAAAGTGTTAATTTTATATCACTGCAATTCCGCTGGAACTTTTGAGTATTTAATTAAGCGCATAAAAACAACTGTTTAGTAGCTATAATGTTACTTTTATGTAAAGTCAATCTCGTTTAAATATATACATATATATAGGAAAATCTTTGTAAGATAATTATGTTTTCTTTTTGAGATCTTTAAAGTATAATATCTCGAGTATTGCTTAATTTTCTCTTAATTATATATACACTTCTGACCGACTTTGCAGAATTAAGGTTATTAGTAAAACCACTATAAAAGTGAAAGAAAAATTTACTGCAAAGATAAAAAGTGATAATAGATATTTTACTTTCTGAAAAAAGCTCTGAATTTGACATCGAATTTGATATGTTAGAAATGTTCATATGAATACGACCGTGATTTTCTAACTAGAAAGTCAAAATTTGAATTTCATATTTTCAAGAAAATAAAAATTCATTGTCAAATATGTATGGTCATTTCTAGAGTATCCTTTTTTGTTCTTCATGAAGAATTTCCTAGTTTATAGTATATGTTTTTATCTACAAGCTTGCCATGACATTAACACTAGTAACGATGATTGAAAAAGTCGAATGATTGTCTTTCTAGATATATTGTTAGTATTACAATTGAAAATACGACCAGAATTGAACTCTAGAAACATTTGGTAAAAGGATTGGCAGCTTGCTATTCCATTTCTGTAATATTTCTCTAGAAGTCGTTATTCTCTGACACATTGTATAGAAAAAAGATGTAGAAAATGTCCGCTCTGGTCACAGAACTAAACAAAGACTATTGTGTCTGTCTGATAGATAGAGAATGCAACGTAGACTATGTTGCAACTAATTATGACTTGCATTTCAACAACTAATTGGTTAAACATTAGTAGCTTGCGACATTGCAGACATTACATGAAATATTATCGTAATTGATTGATTTCCTTCTTTATGAGACTGCGTAGTATGTATTTGAATATGATTATGATAGTAGTCATAAATAGAACTCGATCAGATAAACGGAAATTGTCTAAAAATACGCATAATAATCATTTATGTTGTACGAGATGAAGAATGCTGCGTAGATTCTCTATTCAAAACATTATTTTTACGTATTTACAGAAGAATATCTCTCAATCAAAATCTATAGACTCAACTTCTGTATTTCGTACTGTGTTTTTAATAATTATTACCAAGAAAATGTATTTTCAAACTCAAGACATATTTACTTTAATCCTAAATATCATTTTTCATACTATAGTTTATATTAATATCTACAGACATGCTTTTTTTGCCAACTTTTCAAGCACACCCAATTATTTCATAATAAGTTTGATTGCTCGAAAAATTATAAAGTTTTCATTGAATTGATTTAGTGTCCTTTTTCAAAGATATCTTTCTTGATGTTTTTATCGCATAATATGGTTGTATTCAAAAATAATTAGAAATAAATGATAAAAAGTAAAATAACAAAGCAATGTATGAAGCATAATATCTGTTCTTAAACCATCAATGATAGAAATTTTAATCGCAACTTCTAATGTAGCAGCTTTACTCAAATGATCCTGCGTTTTTAATATGCAGGGATGTCCCGGAAGTTCGTAAACCATTTAAAAAACTCATCGCTATTTGATTCAACAAAAGTAATCTCTTTGCAACTTTAAAAGAATTTTATATCTACTTGATACTAAATAACTACTAAGACTGGGATTGACAGCTTTTCCTATGAACGAGAAACTGTGATAACATTATCATGCGCTATTTTATAGATATTCTCTTGATTATTGTTTTTAAAGTAAAACAACTTTTTCTGTGTGACTATCGATGTATTTCTTAGTTCCAACGACATCTATATTCAAACCTTTGGAAAATCGATAAGATAGTACATGATAGTGTTATTACTGCTTCTCATCCATAGTCATAATTATTGATCTTAATCTTAGTAGTTTTTTTTAGTACTATGTAGATATTTTAATCAGCGAGAGTGGCAAAGAAATTGCATTTGTTGAGTCCAAGAACCATGAGCTTAAAATCGTTTAAAACTCTCTGATACATCCATTATATGTGTATATAATGATATAGATAGATGCTACTATTTTTGATGTCCAACTGTCTTCCCGCTTGACGTGAACATATCAACCAAGAGAGAATTTTACAATTAAATTTCTGAGGTTTCAGCAAAGACTCGAACATCCTTTATTAAAATAATAAAGTTTATTCTTGTTTATATTCATTACGTAGCAACCGACCATGATTAATAGTTTGTTGTTCAGAATAGAGATTTTGATCATTGTTCGCATAAGTAACTCAATACGTCGGTCACCATTAACAAACATTCAGGTAATAGGAAGTGCGACTAAGAAAAAACATTGTTGAAATTCATTCTTAATATTTTGATCAAGTCAGTATCTACATACGTGATCGATAAGATGTTTGAGCCATGCATTCTTTCCTCATATCGGCATTAGGTAGTCTGTTTTCCAGCCATGTTGTCAATAGCTCTACAGGGCACATTGCATCGGAACATGCTATTGATCGATAATTAGTAATGAGCAATGACAGATAAAAACACAGAAATCAGCTTACGTGGAAATTGAAGTTGCTGAGTTGTGCGACTATTTGTCGAATTGATATATTCTATTTTTAAGGTATATGTATTATCTTCTATAGTAAAAAAGTTAATGATCAGAAGCTGAGAATCAAATATTATATTCACCAACCTTCTACATGATACAAATCAAAAAAGAGAGCACTACAATAGGGAGGATGCGCATAATTAACACCGAAAAATGACAATACTCCAGCAATAGTTGTATCATGCTAAAAATTAGAAAGAGAAAAATACGAGAAAAAAATTTTCAATGAGTAAAATATACTCCTGAATAAATTTTTGCTTTTCGGCCATTTAATTTGTTGGTCATCAAACTTTTAACATTTTCCATTATATCAGAAATAATTGGACCTGAATAATTGAACTATAGAAAATAGGAATTTATCTTTACTTTGAATTAGAATACTAACCTCCACGTAACCGACTTGCTTCTGGTGACGAGAAACGATAAAAGAAAGATAAATCAAGAATATGTTTTAGTTGATCAAGAACAAATGGATTTGCCCATGATGGACTGATGTTATACAAATTCTTGAGAGAATGAAAAGAAGCTGCTAAGAATGAAAGATGAGTAAATGCTACCTCAATGAGAACCACATCGGCAATACTCAATGCACCGAATAAATCATTGATTTTTGAACCTGTCCAACTCGCGAGCTGATCAAAGAATTCCTTTTTATTAATTAGTCGTAATATAAAATGTATTTATTCCAATCAAAATAGATTTCTTAAATTGTTACCCGATATTGTCTGTTCAAGTTTTGCAATTGTTTACTGTTTCTTATTTCTCTTAGTAGTTCATTGTAACGGGGACATTCACTGATACCAAGCAACTAAAAGGAAGATAACACCATTTCGTTAGAAAACAAAATGAAAGGATAAACTTTGTAGAACTCGAGGGAAGAATATGAAATTTTTTTTTATTCTATTCGATAGGAATATTTATTTGATGTAACAAATACTATCGATTTCTTGTAATTGTAATTCAAGCATTCTGCTGAAATGATATAGAAAAATATTTGTCACAGTCAATGAAATTCGAGTCATCGTTTTGTGAAGAAACATTAGATACACAATGTACTCTAACAAAATTTATGATTCCACTTGAAACCAAAACGTCATAAAAATTCTCAATAACGAGACTTCTGTTTCTAAATTCGTAAAGGATAGACGTACGGATTAACCTCACTTCTATCATAAGAAGTCCATCTATCCTGTACTCTCTAATCCAACAAAAAAAACTTAGAAATTTTACTACTATACACAAGTTTGTAGCTCAAGTCTTGTTGTGGTATAATACATAGAGCATTAAAATATTCAATAGAGAAAAATCAAGACACAGGTAATAATCGTGTTAGCATCTGTGCAGGTGTATCGAGAGAAGAAAAAGAAACACGTTCCTACTATTTTTGAAAACGAGAAAGTGAAAAACAAAATAATTTATCTCTATAAAAAGAATTCAGTTTATGTTGATTAGTGTCGGTGTAGTGAAACGATAGTATATTGTCGAAGAAATCTAGGAATAAAACAAAACTAGAAGCAAATTAAAAACTATCTTTTTGTAAAACCATATTCTTGTAGTTCGTCCAACTTTAAGCAGTAGGCGACCTTAATAGAGTCTTCCAGATTATTTAACTACTAATTTAATGTCAATCGTTAATGCTTGTTCTCTTTTTCTGTGCTTAGCATCGGCATTTGGCGTTAAGAGTATTGTATTGTGTTAGAATCGAGAGGAATTCTGCAGTTACAGCAGAAGTCCTCTATATCGATCTTTATTTCTTCCAAATAATCAATTTCTTACAATCGATCATGTATGACATGTTTTCTTATTGTAGGAGAGATGAATCTTTCAAAATTTTTATCATATGCAAGTTGATCTGCTCCATTAAAAAATCGGTTTCGATCGATATATAATAAATGAAAGCATAATTTTAATATCTTAATCATTATTCACGAAAGTAAAAATCGAAATAGTTTAACTTTCTTTGCAACGATATAGTACGACATAATCCTTTTCAGAGCTAAACACAAAAATTAATATAATACATTATTCGAAAGATAGTCTCTTTTTGAAAATGTTATATATCCTAAAATTAAAAATTTAATTGAAATGAAAAGACTCATACTACGCACATGATCATCGACGCTTGGTACTGTATGTACAGGTATTGGTTGCCAAGGCAAATATTGTGGCCATTTGTCATCGTCGTCTAGTTTTGGTAGCACTGCCTCTAACTTGTTCTTTGATGTAGGATAAATTCCAAGTAAATTTGAATAAGCTGACATGAGAGTTCGGTCAAAGTCTGTACTTCTGACAGTTACCTGAAAAACTTGAAAATTTCGCGTTTCTTCCATGGTCGTTTACTAACTTCAGCAGCAACGTAGGTCAAATTGAGCAATTCAGAGTATCGTTCCCGTAAATATTGTCCTAGTCGAATTTGTTGAACTTGGCCTCGATGCGTCAATTGACCAAGACCATTAGGCCAATAGGAAGGACTACTGTTGCTTGTCGGATATAGACCTATTGGAGAACGATCTCCATGACGATAAATCTTTTAAAAAATGTACTCTTGATTTAAAATATTCATCAAGACATCATTCATTACGTACAATATGGGTACCCACAAGTTTAACTCGTGGCTGTAAACATTCAACATCACCATTCAATATTAGCAGGCTGAAGATCACGTATAGCATCATATACATTTTGACGAGAGCAAAACAGTCAGTTCTTCTATTTTATTTTTTGTAAAGAGATTAGCCTTGAAAGCTATAGAGAGAAAGTAAATAACAACAATGCTGATTACCTTTATTGTTAAAATATCAATGTGGTATTCAAAGTTTCATCCTCTTACATGTATAGGCATGCATTAGGGATTGTTTCGAGAGAAGATCATCCAAGAGGGAAACATCATACTTCTGTACTTTCGTGCTTTAATATACTCCAAATACTTTAAAAGTACTTCATTGGGCTTTACAGTAATTCAAGGTATTTCATTGTACTTAGGTGTGGAAAGTTACAGTTGTATGACCAAGAAGGAAACGTCGTACTTTTGCACTTTAAAGTACGGTGAAGTACATTGACGTACGTTAAACTACAGTGAAGTACAATCAGCGGTGGGAATTTACCATTATGTTGCTGGATAACAGGTAACGAAAATTAGGAGACCTCTACCTTTTCGGTTAAGGACGGGGTATTTCGGGAAATAACGATCTAAGATAAAGGTTGACGAAAGTGAATCGGGGACGAGAAATTCGAATCTGCAATTGGTTTCTCGAAATTGGAAACTCAATTTTTAGACAAAGAAAGGGGTGTTCTGCAAAGATGAGCATCTATGATAAGGTCTCGTATCATCTGTTGTGAAAAATCCATCTTGCTGCTGGGCTTAATCTTAGTGTATTTCGAAGTATTGATGTGAGTCTGTCAGTTGTCACTCCTGTTGGTTGTTCAAACTGGGGTTTCGGTGTGAGATACTTCAATGGTGCTTGCAGAGTGAAGGATTCATTAGCGACTCGCTTCTGCAACATCGATAGTATATTCGAATGCGCGGGATGGATATGAGTGTGGATATGTGGGTGTCGGTGAGGTGTGGTCGTGGCTGTAGCTGCTAATGGGTCGATATGAGAGCAAGTAAACTCAATATTGACATCCACACCTTACCCTCGTGAATTGGTATTTCCAATGGCGACTACTCGTTATCCTGAACCTAAATTGAAAAAAACAAAAAAGGCTCGAAAACTATATTTTTACAAAAATAGCTTACTGAACATATCATAAGATAATTATTATCATCGATAAAACATTGAATGTTCCATAACTGATTTTCTTTTTCATATTTCATGAAAGTAAGACCTTCTAAATCTTTAGTAAAATTTATTATTTCATTTTCCTATAAAATAGAAAGAATAAAATTAATTTGAAAAAATAATTTCCTACTTCTGATGGCTTCTTTTAAACAACGAAATTTTCATTAATAAAGCACCAATGTGCAATTAAAATAAACTTATCAGAAAGACTATGCATAGTACCTTGACAAAGGTACAACATAGCAGATAAGAACTTTTTTGAAGACATATATCTACAAAAAAAAGTAAAACATTGATAAATGGTCGATAAATTGATAAAATTATCAATCTTTGTGATGCTAGAATAGTCAAAAAATCTTCACTTCAACAATAAATACTAAACCTTATCAGTTGATCGTTACGTTAGTTGAGAAAGAAATTCAATAATATCGACGTAAGCATATTCACTATACAAGAAAAAAAATGCATTTCAAATCGCTTAAACATTAATCCAAAGCAATCTGAATTAGACATATGGTCACAGACAACCATGAGGAAAAAACTTTCTAACTCATATTTTCTTCTGCTATTGGAAATATTTCATTAAAGGAGAATCTTCCAATATCGAAAAAAAATTGTATTTATTATTCATACTATAGTCCATTCGCACAGTCTGTGCGTGTGACTATTTTTTGAATACACGAGAACACCAAGGAAGAGAAACCTGCGGTTCTAATCATTCAAACCAGTGGTATCTAGAGTATCTATTTCCAGAACAGCTCGACGTTTGAAAGGTTATTTCATGGCTTCTCTTAAAATGACATTCTTTTTGCTGTCTAAACGATCCAAAATATTGATTAAGTAATAAAATAAATAAAAACTACTTACTGTTCATTGAACTGATAAACTAAAACAACCTAAAATTAAAAATTAAAAATCAAAGAAAATTATAGTACACATGTATGCACTAATCATTATATACAGTCCTGACCATAAGTCCCTCACCCCCCTCTCCTAAACTTTATCAATATTTTCAAGCTTTTTGTCTGAGATTTTGGCCGCACGTGAATACTGACAAATGCTGATCATAGACACCAACCCGACATTAATTCAACGTAATAGAACAGAGTTGTACACCAAACACGATCGTTATCTTGCATTGGTTGTATCTTAGTCATACAACCATTTTGGAGATCGAAGAACCCAGCATTCAAACGCTTGAGTTTTCAGCTTTCTTCGGTAAAATTTGCATTAGAAAAGTTCTTCGGGTTGCTGAGATATCAGCCTGTTAATGAGTATTGGTCGAAACCTAATTATGATGATTTTCATTTCGTAATAATGAAAATCATCTTTACATTAACCAATTCATTTGAAAATTTTTTCTCAACATATTCATAGATTCAGAAATGTTTTCTGAAAGTTTTAGTGTTATATCCTGTATTAAAGTCGAAATACGACGATATCATGATCTCGTCACCGCATATGTCGCCAAACATTGATATCTCAATGAATTCAGTTGTTCTTGCTACCCAGCATCGTACACATTAGCAGCTATATGTATCACTAGAAAAATCTTCTAGAAATCGTTTAGATATAGAATAGTATCATTTTCTTTCTATATCCGATAAATGGTACAGATAACAACATAAAAGAAAAGGAAAAAAGATTTCAGTTACGATTTTTCATTATCTTGATTAAATGTAATAGGTTTAGTTTTAGAATCAACGTTTGTGATTAATCACAAACATTAGTAATATTATTACGACTACTCTGAATCACTATAAGAATGAATACTAAAAGATCTATCAGTACTCTATATGTGTATCAGAGAATTTCTTCTATCAAACCGAATGATTCTGTATATTTTGAACATTAGTGAAATTAGATATATACGAAAGACAACATGTATAGACAGCAAGTGTAAGATTTGGTGTGGAAAAAAACTGATATTATTCTATATCTAAACGATTTGTAGGAGATTTTTCTAGTGATACATATAGCTGCTAATGTGTACGATGCTGGGTAGCAAGAACAACTGAATTCATTGAGATATCAATGTTTGGCGACATATGCGGTGATGAGATCATGATATCGTCGTATTTCGAGTTTAATACAGGCTATAACACTAAAACTTTCAGAAAACATTTCTGAATCTATGAATATGTTGAGAAAAAATTTTCAAATGAATTGGCTAATGTAACGATGATTTTCATTATTACGAAATGAAAATCATCATAATTGCGTTTCGACCAATACTCATTAACAGGCTGATATCTCAGCAACCCGAAGGACTTTTCTAATGCAAATTTTACCGAAGAAAGCTGAAGACTCAAGCGTTTGAATGCTGGGTTCTTCGATCTCCAAAATGGTTGTATGACTAAGATGCACCCAATGCAAGATAACGATCGTGTTTGGTGTATAACTCTGTTCTATTACGTTGAATTGATGTCGGATTGGTGTCTATGATTAGTATTTGTCAGTATTCACGTGCGGCCAAAAGCTCAGACAAAAAGTTTGAAATATTGATAAAGTTTAGGAGAGGAGGGCGAGGGACTTATGGCCAGGACTGTATTATCATTTATTATTGAAAAACATAAAGAAAAAAAATCGATTTAGATGAATCCGTGAAGTTTCTACCACTTTTCTCGAATTTTTTTTCGATTTTAATACTCTAGTTAGACGTAACATTGTCGAAAATGGTCTAAGGTAACAACTAAAACCTTTTTGGAGACATAAAGTGTGAAGAAGCAAAGGACTTTTTTAGGAACCTTCCACATACGTAAAAAGTATCCAATAAAAAATTGTTAATCATATTTTTCATACTTTGTCTTGATATAGAGCGCTGAAATTTTTATCACGTATATATCTAATCAAGATGTTTTATTTCTGAAAGTTTCAGCTTTCTAACCAAAACTACTAGCGAAATACATAGACAAAACTGAAATACATAAATTTTCGTATCCAATTTTTGCATATGTTTAATGTGAAACCATTGCAAAAATCAGTACGAAAATTGATGTATTTCACCATCAGCTTCAGCTAGAGAGTTGAAACTTTCAGAAATAGAAGATCTTGATTAGATATATATGTGATAAAAATTTCAGCCCTCGATGTCAAGATAAAGTACGAAAAATATGATTAACAATTTAATATCAGTTGTTATGGGATACCCTTTATATGTGCGGAGTGTGCCTAAAAACTGATGTTGTTCTCAACAATGTAGAAGTTAAAAATAGGTGACTTGTAAGTGATCAAATTTTCGGTCAAAAAGTTACTTGAGTTATAACTATCAATCTTTTTAAATTGATTGACTTTTTTTGAATTCTTCAGTAAATTTAATTAAGTTGAAATAGTAATTATTTTGATTTAATTGATATTGTTGATAGATTAAATTATAATATTTGTAATTCATTATTCTTTACTTCAAAACTTAGTAGTTATAGATTATCCTCTGACGAGGGAACCAATTCAACTGATAAACGCCATTTGAACTCATACATTGCCCATTGGTAGGGCTCATAGTATAGATAAAAATTCTAAAAGGGTTCGTGCCCATAGGTCTTTCTTCTCGGGTTATGGTCAGTTTACGGAATGTTTAGCTTAACACAGGGTATTACGAAGAACACCTCAACTAAGAATTTCCGTTCGAAAGTTTCCTCGACAATAGACCTAATGGTGCTTATTATATCCTGAAAGTTTCAGCTCAAACGGGTGATTTTTTCTTAACATATGCAATATCTCAAAAATGAACAATGTTTGGAGCTTTTGTGAGAAAGTAGTGGTTTTGTCAGATGTATTTATCTCAGAACAGAACTATGCATTTAAGCTAAACCTTTCAGACCATAATAAGAACCATTAGGTCTATTATCGGAGAAATTTTCAGATGGAAATTTCTAGTTGAGGTTTTCTTCATAATACCCTGTGATAAGCTAAAAATTCAGTAAAATGACCATAACTCGAGACGAAAGGCCTATGGGCAAAATATGAGTTCAAACGGCGTTTATCAGTTGGATCGATTCTTTCGTAAGTCTATGCTATGAGCCCTACCAATGGGCAATGTATGAGTTCAAATGGCGTTTATCAGTTGAATTGGTTCCCTCGTCAGAGGATAATCTATAACTACTAAGTTTTGAAGTAAAGAATAATGAATTACAAATATTATAATTTAATCTATCAACAATATCAATTAAATCAAANGATTGAGTCCAAATATTAAGAATTTCGCTCCAAATCCCAAGATGTATTTTCGGATTTTTCCAGTCTGGTAGTAAATTAGAACGTTGCTTCAGACAATTTATCTTATCTAATCTGCGGGATTTTGGTGATTGGAAAGCAAATCCAAGCCAAACCTTCTGAAGTCCTTGGTCCTAAATCCGCAGCCTGTTGTAGATGTGTTGTACCTTTATTATTGGACAAATAAAGTATAAGTAGGCTGGTATTTTAAAATATTAGTACTTCTTCAGAAACATTTTCTCGGCAATATGCATATCTGTCAAAAACATTTTCTTTTCACAAAAAGCTTCCGACGAACGATATTCTTACCAAAAAATGAAATCATAATCGTAGCAAATATATGTATATCCAATTTTATGCAATTTTATATGAAGTACAAAGAAAACAACAAAATGGAGAATAAATATAATGATGTCTAGAGTAGCCATTTGCATAGTCACACTATAAATATGACTTAATCATCTAGAAGAAAAAAGAGAAAAAAATAATAGAAGAAATCTATTTCCATTGAAAATATTCACCGGTTATTATAACTCGTTCTGTGAAAATTTCACATCTGGAATTAATAATGATTGATCTGTCGTCGATGTTCTCTGTTTTAGTAACCGTATTTTTGGAAACGCTCTAAAATTAAATACATTGTGACGCATTAATGGATCAATAAATACACTTACCTGATATTGATAGACAGCTCATATATTATCTGAATAGAAGATCTCGTATTCATGAAATCTGACACAATAACTGTTGTCGTGTATAAAAGATTAAATAATGTACAGACCTTTAGAATTAAGAATAAAATCTTAAATGATCGATCAAGAAAAACAGAAATCTGCGAAAAATAAACCCAAGAATGTTGATTAATGTCTTCATAACAAGAAGACAAAAGAAATTCAATCAGTGAGAAAACTACTTCATTTGAGCATATGAACTGCACTAGCTATTGTTGCATCGTGAATTTGAATTGTATTAAACTGTTTTTTTCATGGTAAATATATATAAATGCATATTAGTAAGCAAAATACTAGATACAATATTAATGCAAGTGCAAACTTTGACGCGAAGACAAGTATCGCCTGATTCTCTTACATCAATATTGAATAATGACCAAAAAAGAAGAACACATAGAGTACCGATCCTAGTGACAAGATCCTGATCGTCATATATTGGATTTCTGTTTTTCAATCTTTTATTATAAAACATAAATGCCAAAACAATTCCAAAATAGGTAACTAAAAAAGTTTTAAAAAAAGAATAAGTTGCGTATTATATTTCAGACAACTATTTGTGTTAAATATATCGAATGGATTGACAAATATGGATTAGTGGGTTGCTGAAGTGATTTATTAATAAAAGCAATAGATATTAAATAATTGAATTGGATCTAGCTTGTCTACAATATCATCAAACACAATAAGTGTAAGTGCAGCAGCAGAACCAGTGATTCAATTTGTTCTGCTTTTCAAAATGGAAAAGTAATTGTTGGATACAAATAGCAAACTTTTTTATCATAGTGTAATTATGAATCAGAAAAAAATTATCATAGAAGAAAAAAAAAAATGGTCAGATCTATTTATTACAATGTAATCATAGTTATTCATTCTCACATATGGTTGGGTATTAAACACGAAAAAAACAACACATTCAAGTCAAACAATACAAGAATAAGATCACAAATGAAAACACAACGAGATTATGCATTAGATACTGAATCTGATGGATACACAATGAGTTAAGATCTAAAGAAACAAAAGAAAAATCAAGTACGATATTTCAATGTACTAGAATCAAATGTAATAAGAACGGGACTAGGTTGAACTGTATGAGTATAATGAGAATTAGGTAATGTCGATAATAATGATGGATCAAAACTATATCGACTATTAGCTACATCTAGTTCATTAATTTCTGGTACAGCTTCAAGTGGAAGACGAGAACCGTTTTTACGAATTTCTATTTCACCATACGATACAGGTGAAATATTATCAGCAGAAATCGGTTCAAAAAATGAAGTCATTTTCGTTTCATCAGTTGCTGAAAATGTAAGAGTCGATGAAACCACTGCATGTGGATTTTCTATTGATAGCGAACCACGTGTTAATTGTGGTGTAACTATTAAATTTGATATCACTGAATCACGACAACGTGGAATTGTTGTTACTTTAGCTAAGGATATTGTTGAATCAGTTAAACTTTCTTGAGGTGATGGTAGTCCAATTGGAGCACTAGGTGTTTGATGTATTATTCGATTTTGAGATTTATAAAGTGGTGTTGTTGTAAGATCATTAGATTTGAGAAGACTTGCATGATATCGATCAGCTTTCAGATGAGAACAATCACCTAATCTAAATAATTTTAAAAAAAAAGACAATTATGATTCAATCAATATTACGTACATACTTGTATCGAATATGAGAAAGACAACAACATTCCCATTTAGAATCTATAGGAGAGAAAAAAAATCGATTCAATATTTAAAAAAAAAAGTTCATAGTTTTTTTCTCTACCACATTCAAGATCGGTAATATAAGATCGTCGATGGTAATAATATTTAAATGCACAAAATATACAGAAACAAATCGATGCTATTGTTAATAGAGTCAATATACAAAGTAATATTATAAGTAAATGGCTTGATCCATTAAAAGAAAGAATTGCATTGAATCCTAAATAGATAAAGAAAACAAAGCTAAATGCATTTTTCAAAGTAGCTTAAGAGTGTCCCTTCCTCCCTCTGTTTTGATTATTTCTGATTCTTGAAGAGGGTACAATAATCAGATTGAAATTTTTACCACCGACCTAGTACCTCGAATAAAGAGACATGTGTTCAAGGAAAAATATTTTCGGAAAGGTTTTCGTGAAAATCCTAATTTTCCATAGGATCGCATCCCAGTATAATACGATCTACATAAGACTTTATCCGATCTAGCTGAAGATTTTGTTGAGATATCTCAAAGATATTTTTGAGTATCGTCGAAAATCTAGTTTTCAATTTTTTTTGATGAAACAAACACGTAAAGATTCGTAGTCAAAATAAAAGTGTTAACTTTTAGAATCCTATAAATTTGCATGGTAAAAGTCAAAAACGGAAACGACTAATTTTACTTCTGAAGGATACTTGCAACGGTCTGTGGCGAAAGTTTCAATTCGATCAGACAAAGTTAAAGGAAGGTCGTAAGCAGTCGAGACTAAGAAAACCGGTGTTTTGCATAATGCTAAGTAAAAGAGAAGAAGGTTCATATGATAACTATGAAAAAAAAATTCTTTAATTCAGTAGCATTGTAACAGTAATCTATTCACAATTGAATGATGTCTCGAATTGCGAATGACACTTGAGGATATCATTCCTTATGCTCAGTGGAAAATCGAGTTTTTGGTCAAACAAGAGGAGGTATCCTTAAATACATACGAATATTAATTTGTGATTCAATTGGCAAACTATATGTTCCTTGATCTGAATAAGACATCACTTGTATTATATATTTTGATTGTTTTATATGTTTTAATACATATGAATGAGTAGGATAATAAACAAGAATTGATTGCTGAGATTGTTGGTTGTTAAATAAAATTGTTGAACGCCATTGTATGACATAATACACAATATTTTTTGGTGATTCCATTGTATTTGGATGATTCCATGTTATATGAAGATTTACTCCCGATTGATATAAATGAAGATTTGTTGGTGATAATGGCCGAAGTAATATTGTTTCATTTGAATAATGAAGATAATCAATTGATGAATTTTCTGTTTGATTCAAATAAATTGTAATAATTGGAGTAAATGTTCCTACACCTAAGTCATTTTCTGCAACAATTGTTAACTCATATGTTTGTTTTAATTTTAAATCAAATAATATAAATTCAGTTACATTATTTGGTAATACACGAATTTGATTCCAATTTCGTTTTTTTCTATGTAATATTCGATACCAGATAATAAAATGTTGAAATCGACCACCATCATAACCAGGTTCCCAAGAAAGAAAAAGATTTGATGCTATTTGTTTATATTGAATATTATGTGGTGCTTGTGGTGTCGTATCTAACAAACAAACAAAAAATCAAATACAGCATTTCCTGTGAATACAGATAAGCAAAACGATGACAGTGCACATTCTCTTTTCAGCCAAGGAGAGCATAGATCTTGATGTGGGGAAGGGACTACTCTTCTCTACTTTTTATATCGTGTTTGCGAAAATTTTCAACTGTTGCCAGAAGACTGTCTGCCAAGTTTAAGAAGGCAACTTTTTTCATGAAGGAACCACTCGAACTGATACTCGTTATTTGAGTCAGTATCGGACTCAAAAGCAGGTCTCAGTGAGATTAGTAAAACTTTGAAAGGGTTCATCTCTGTGGGTCTATGTCGCTGAATAATGATAAATTTAATGAATTTTTTCTTTATTTGAAGAGAGTTTTCAAAAAAAAATACCACATGAGAGAATTTTGTTCTAAGACTTTGCCTATAGATAGATATAATAACATTTCAAATATTTTGAAAGTTTCAGCCAAAAAAGAGTGTTCGTTTCATCGTCATGATATAGTTACCAAAAATAGTCCTCTATCATAGACATGTCACAAAAAACCTAATTCATTTAAAGAGTCAATAACTTGATGAGAAAAACTTCACCCCGACTGGAACTTTCAGGGTTATTCTACAGGTCATTCGATACACATACAGAGTAGACTTCACGTCGGAATGCTATTTATGTTGAGGACATACTTAAAACTGGGTCGAAAATTCAGTAAAATGATCATAACTCGCTTCAAAGTTCATGGACACAGACTATTTTAGCTTTTTGATAGTCTCACAAAGGCATTCTTGCAGGCATAATATAAACTCAAACGGCAAATATCAGTTCGAATGGTTCCCTCGTCAGTTGATTTGTCCCAGGCAGACTGCCTCAAACTTTCTGTCAAATTGTTAGCCGGTTCCTCTTCTAAAAATTATCGAAAGACCTAAAGAAGAGTCCACACTTTTCCTGACTATCAATGGTAAGTACTGTATTGTACGAGATGGTTCAAAGCTTTCATCATAGGTAACATGTCTTAGATGAGTTCAATATTTATGAAAGATTTATCAAATCTAGAGCTCCCTCTATTCATAAAATGTACAAAATTTTAATTCGAATATTATGTGAGGATCAATACAAATCATTTTCTTATTATCTCTACAATTAATTCGACTCACTTTCAACAATAATTAATGTAGTAATATTAGTTGTTGTATGTTCGTTTGATGCTTGACATATATATAAACCATGGTCGAGTTTATCAATATATGGGAGTGTTAAATTTTCATTAACTTCTTTTAATTCGATAGAATTCTAATTATTAAAATCAAAGCAATTATTCATATGAAAAAACAGAAAAATTTCTTCATACTTTAAGCCATTTAATAGTTGGTGGTGGATTACCAAAAGCAACACATGGTACTATCAATTGATCTCGTTCATTAACATAATAAATAGAGTTTGGTTTTAGAATAAATTTAATTGGTTCTATAATTTATTTATTTTTTTAGAAAATATTTAAATTAATAAATAAAAACTCAAATCAAACCTTTTGTTTCAACATAAAATGGTATACTATCGTGGCCGAATCCTTCTGAATTTTGTGCACGACAAAAATATTTACCATTATCATCAATTTCAACAGATTTTATTATCAGACTATATTCAGAGTTAACAGAATATGAACCACCTAGGATTATAAAATAGCTTAACAAAAAAGATCTTAAAAGTCTTTTCTTATAAATTACCTTTTGGTTCAATACGTATGGATTCTCCATTTCTATACCATGAAACAGATTGAATTGGTGGATAAGCATCAAGTAGACATGGACAGATACCTATTGAACCTCGAATAAATGTTAAATTTTTTGTTTGATGATTACGCGAAGGCATTGGTGGATCTAATTATTCATTAATTTTTATAGGTTTCAAAAATAAATACAAAAAACTTAACTTACATTTAACAGTTATTATCGCTGGTTTACTACGAACGCTTGCTGAATTTATTATACTTATTATACATACATATGATCCATAATCAGAAGGTTCAATATTATTAATAATAAGAACACCATCACTATAAGTTTTTATACGATCTCGTGATGAAATTGTTTCCGATATAGGAAGATCATCTTTCAACCTATATATAGCAAATGTGACATGATAAATTTTTTTATATAATAGGTGTTCGAAGAATCAGGCAAAATATTCATTCATTTGTCGATATTTTTAATGAGTCTGCAAAAATTTGAAAACAATGAGTTAGAGTCAGAATTTTGTGTTCTTTCTGAATATGGATTTAAAATTTTTATACGGCCTCCAGTTTAGCAGTTATGAGTCAATCTTTTAGAAGCTCAAAAATTAACTATGGGCGAACTTTAGCACGTCAAAAGTTATCGAAAGTAGAAGTGAAACTTATTACAAATACAGCAAATGAGCGGAGCAAACATTTCTCAATAAAATGGTATATTAATAATTAATCAACTGTAAGTTATTTTCTAACAGAAAATTTTTTTGGTGAGGAACACACTATGTGAATTTAGACAATCTTCTTGACCCCCATGAAAAATACATTTGCAAAGTGAGCTCTGCCTAAGGGAAGAACAGCTGATTCTGTGGCATTAGAATCACATGAAGCCATTGAAATCAATAAAAGCACTTCGAATCAGCTGTTTTGCCTTCGGCTGTTCTCTGAGGACATCTCAAATCACCCATTGTTTTCCTTTGAGTGATATAGACGATCGTTCTGCATAATCATAATAGTCAATATTAGAACTGAGAAGTTACGGTTATGTTACCAATTATAGGTAACGGAGAAAATTTATATAATCGGTTTCTTCAGAAAGTAACGATTTTTTTATGAAGTTTAATCAAAGGCTTTCACAGTCAAAGAATACAAATCTGTAATCCGATTCTTGCAATTATGTACTTGATTTTTCTGTGCAACAAAGACTATTTTAGAGCATTTCACTAAGAAACCGATTACAGATTCGGATCCCACAATCCCGAAAACCCTTGATCAAACTTTATAACAGAATCGTCATTATCCTTCAATAACTATGTCCTGACGAAATAATCAAACCCATGAATTTTCCATAATCTGTTATTTACTTACGTAGCAGTCACTTCCTTCTCCTCCCCCCCCCCCCCCCCCCCCCCCCCCCCCCCCCCCCCCCCCGACCCCCACTACAGACAGCCACCCATTACAGACTGCCCCCCATTACAGACAGCCAACCATTGCAGACAAACTGAGAAAATAAATTTTACTGGTATGCATATATTTGATTNAGTAAGTCTATTATAGCATTCGCTCATAAATTCTTATCTTTTCTGTTTTGCTTTGTTTTTTGTTTATATTATTTCATAACTATTTTTCTTGTTTGTTGGCTTGTTGTGTACACATAACTCAGCTTACAATGCTCTTTATCCTTCCTGTTTATAACAACATCGTTTCAGTATGATCATATGTGTGCGTTACTGCTCAATGGAAATTGTCAAGAAATTGCTCTTTCGCTTTATTTTAAAAATTTTCCTCTTATTTTGGTGTTTTACTAATTAGTTAGGAAATGTATCAAATTATAAGATTGCTGCATCTCAAAGAAGTCGTGTTTCATCCTATGTTTATTGTACATTAACATGAATCGATGATAAATTACTTACGTTTTTCATAATAAAAAAAGAAACATTTTAATTTTAGAAAAAGCAACATATATCTTATTTTCATATGGTTCAACATTATTAGCAAATGAATTTTTGGCAAAATTGATACGATCAATAGGGACGAGAAGAACATATAAAATAATTTAATCATAAAAACAACAATCAACAAATTTACTATATAAAGAGTCAAAATAACGTCGAAGTCTTACATTTTTATTATGAACAAATATAATCATTACACTTTTAATATTACTAACTTGACTTTTATTTTTTTTATAATCTACTAACGACTTTCAATAGAATTTCAAACATAGAACTCCACTTATTTAGAATTAACATGTTTATGGAAAAAAGAATTCGAGCAAAGCAGTTCGTACGTTTTCGGTATGTTATTCTGCCTACTCTCACTCTTTTTTCTTCTGTTCCTTCATTTCATTGTAGAGTGTTTGAAAAATGAAAGCGGTGAAATACGACCCAAGTTTTTGTTATTTTTTATAGAGGTGATCCATTACTAATGGTGACATTTTTATTTCTCTTATATTAGAAAAATGTGCAGCCTAGTTTAATGATTACAAGTACAAAAAGCTGTCAGCACAATTCCTACAAAATCAAAACGTGGCAAAAAGATGTAGTCGGCATTCTTAATTATAAGGAGATTGTTTTATTTTCTCTACTTTGAGACACGTTTCTTCAACATCCTTCTACTTAATTCTTCATACATACGACAAGGAAGTAGTTCTTACATTATAATGAGACGTTATGGATATACAATCTGCACGAAGGGAGGGGGGAGGGGGAGACACAGAGCACTGCTAAGCGATATGTCATTGTCTGTGATGCTTCTATAGTGTGTCTGCCACATTTCTTGGGGAATACAAATCATTGACTCCGATATTTCAGCACTCCTTTCGAATCGTGCTTTACAAAATAGTGGAACAAACAAAAAAGCAGGGTGCATAAGTGTCAATAGCTTTTATTTTCAAACGTAAAAAAGCCACGAAAGAGAAATAATTACATATGGATAAACATAAAGTTAGAAAAATATATGAACAAAATAAAAAGTTAATGCAACATTAATGCGAAAATAGATTCTTCAAATGATTCAGAAAAGAAGTTTTAATGAAGTAAGATTAATGAACGAATGCTGAATAAGTTCAAAGCAGATACCAATGGGCTACGTTTATAAAAGATTGACTATTCATTCTACAGATCTTAAAAATCTTTTCTGTATTAAAATCACAAGCAAAGTTTTTCTTGACTCAAAAAAAAAAATCATTCACATACAATGCATTCATGTCAAATATAATTAAATAGTACAATAACGCATCATACATGCTGGTGGCGGAGGTAAATAATAGATATAGAATGAACCACAATTTGCTACACTTATACTCGAAGAAAATCGGCATATACTAGTATACCATGTAAAACATGCGGTACCATTTAAAACTTGTCCCGTTGATGATGGCATTGTACCATCATACCAACCAGTACCTTCAGAACCACATAGATTCATACCAGGTGTTTGTAAAGGCAATTCAGTACCACCTGTACCTATAAATCTTATCCAAACTGGATATGTTCTATTAATAAACGGTGCTGTTGTATCACAACCAAGTGCATAACCTACTGCAGCTATATTTCGAGTTGGATCATCAAGAGTTGTATAAGCTGAACATTGCGATGGTAAACTGTCTGATGATGATGAACTCGATGTTGTTGAATTTGTTGCTGTGATAAAAAATAATCTATTTACAACGTGTTACTTAGCAATAAAAGAAACAATTCTTTTTATCAAAAAAAGAAATGAATGAGAAAGCAGAAAATTCGTTCATACCTAATTTAGAATCGACAGTCGATCGAAGAAGTAGAACAAGTATCAGTGCAGTAAGACCAAATGCAAATGCAATAACACCAAGCAGTATCCCAATAATAGAAGCCATAAAATGTGCACTAGATCTTGTATATGGTCCTTTTAACGGAACATTGTATTGTCTTACATGAAAAAAAAAACATGTGAATTCAATAATTATTTAATTGAATACTCTACCTTTCTCGGTCATTCGCTTTGATATTACTATGATCTCTAGCATAATTTCTTTGTGCATGATCTTTGCCGTCATTGAGAAAAAATTCTTGATCGAATAATTCAGATTTTGTCATGAAATTACCAGATGATGTTAGCAAAGGTATGGATGATGTTGTCAAAGGATTCGATAATGTTTGTGATGACTCAAGATATAAGGGATTACTTTCTATTAGTGAATTAAGATTTCATTTTTATTAATGCTTTCAACGAAGTAACATCGGAATTCTTACCTAACGCAATTGGATTAGATTTTTTTAATGACATAGTTGATGCTAATCGTGGTATATGAGTAACTTGTACTTGATGTGTATGAATTTGTTCACCATCTTGTGCATTTGTAGTTTTTGATGCTGCCGTTTTTCTCATTGACATTGTTCTACCAGATTTTTCTAATCGATTAACTGTTGGTTGATGATCTTCTTCATCTTCTTGTGCAAGTGTATTTTTCGATGCTGTTGATGAAAGTTCTTTCTTCACTTTAGTTACAGTTACTCCTGCCGATGTTGTCATTTTTCTCATTGACATTGTTCTACTCGACTTTGCTAATCGATTAAGTGTTGGTTGATGATTATCTTGTTCATCATGTTCTTGTTGTTCGTCCTGTTTCTCATCTTGTTCATCATGTTTTATCTGTTGCTTCAGTCGTTCTTTTTGTAATTGTGCCAAAAATTCTTTCTAAAATCATGTCGTATAATATATCTATTTCAAATATAATTTGATTTAAGCTTACTCGTCCAACACTTTGCACTCGAATATTATCTCTCTGATATGTATTTGGTATTGTTACAGATTGAGATCGTCGACGTCCCATTCGTGATATATGTGCGACATGAACAGTAGGTAATGGTGTGGCCATCGTCAAACTTATTTTGTACAAACTGATTCAATTCAATCTTATTTTCTGATTTTTTTATTCAGATTATGAAATTAAAAAAAAAATAAAAGAATTTATTTTTATAAGAATCAGCAGAAATTATATGTAAATCAGTTTTTATTTGTTATGAAGCCAATCTAATCCTAGAACACACTTCACGCATTGTTTTTTTTTTCGTGAGCCTACGAGAAGGTTTCATGCTATTCAACAACAATACCCTGGTAATCTTCACTGTTTTCTTATATTTCGGTATGTATATATCTATGATCATGCGATTTTGTTGATTAAAAGCCTCATGAGCGGCATATAATGAAATATTTAATTAATTTTTTTTATTATGTTTTTCAAATTATTTTTTATTCTCTTTGAAAAAAGAATAAAAACCTATTTATGTATGAGAGAAGTGAGTATGCTCTCTTTTCTTCTCCAATTTTAATTGAAATCGACGCAGATACAGATATAATACGTGTTGATGAGTTGAGAAAAATTGACATTCGAATTTCTTCGGGTCAAACAAACATTCATTGATTAAATTTTTTGTTCTTTTCTTCATCATCTTTCAAATATCGTGAAATTCACTTTGGATTGTGTTTATTTCTTTTATATACAGTCGTCTTGATATGCATTTATGATACACAATGTACAGGATTAGCCATCAATAACACTACGAGAAAAAATTAAAATATCGTCGCTTTGGTTTGTTTTAATGCTTTAATTCTTTTGATGATCAGAGAAGCCTGTTTAACGTTTTTTTTATGTGGGTCATGTCAGCAAAAAAGCACTGGCCAGTAGGGAAAATATATAAGAGTCGTTCCAGAGATAATTTTTAGTTGTTATCAAAGAGAATAATAATAAGAAATCAAAGAGGAACTATACTGATGCACATAGAGTAAGTTGTTAAAACTAGTAGTCAGTTTAAATGTTGAAATTCGCGACCCATAGCAGTCCTTTGGACACCACTTTCTTGCAAAAACTAGTATTCCATATTTGAAAATTCAAAATTTTGTAACCGTTGGCTTTTAAATTAATTATTGCTGACAATTTGGTCTACGTGCATCAATATAATATGATTCATAAAGTTCATTTTGATTTCTTCTTTGATTTTCTTGGAAAACAAATGAAAATTATCTATGAGACTCTTAACATATATTTGTTGGAGATAAAGTTGGGAATCTAGTTTTGACTAGATAAGATTAAGATTAGGCTAGAGATGTTATCTGAGTAGAATAACTATTTTTATTCAACATATCCTTTTTGTTTTCTTACACATTTTACAAGTCAAAGTACCTTAGTCTATTCACCTATATGTGTATAACTACCTGCCTTGCAATGACATTTTGCCGAACAAAAAAACTCCCATATTTTTACATAAACTTTGCTTTATAATACTTTTTTCTCGAAAATTTCCATTTAAGGATTTTTTTTGTTATTAGATTGTAGCATGTGAATCGATATATCTACTGCTTATCGACACAACCGATGTGACTAAAATTTTCTCTTCTTTTTTTCATTCCGCTCTACTTTTAGTACAATGCATGACTGTATGAATTTATTTCTAGTCGAATCCTAATTTTGTTTGGTCAAAATTAGAAGAGTGAGAATGAGGATTTTGATTTGGAGGATGGCTCAATCCTGTCCTCGATCCTTTGGGCCCTTTGACGAGACTTTTGAAGAAAAGAAGACATCTTTCAAAAACCCCGCTAGAATAGCTCAAAGATTCATGGGGGCTGAGAGCTGAAGTTCTTGCGCCCGCTCCCTCCCCTGCTCTATCACTGATATGAGTGTGTGGAAATGTAGAAAAGGTCAACACCTATACTAGAACCTCTCGGGTTGGAAGCTTTGGACTTCGGAGGTGACTATCAGAAAATTTTCAGACTCGCACTCGACCAGGTTCGAGACTAACCAGACAGATTCTAACCTACACCCACACTCCAGTCTTTTTTTAAAGTGTTGTATCAAAGTGCATTGTATCAAAATGAGTGAATATTTTTGTAGTCTACTAAATGTGACAGAATTGAGTCGTTTTTGATGCAACTCGATTATGTCGATGGGTCTGAACCATCTGTACTAGCCGCAAAGTCCAAATCGGTTCCAGTTATGAGATAAATTTTATTAAAGATGGCGTTGCAAAACTTTTTATTATTATTAATATTTTACAATTGTTTTCTACTCAGTTGATTTGAGTTCTTTCTAATAAATAATTCAATTTGAATTAGAAAACAATTTCTGCAATCGGTTAACTAGTACTAAATATCGTGAACACTACCGCCGGTTCCTATGAGTATCACGAACAACCACACGACTTTAGTATGACTAACAAAACAGATCACACCATATGAGCGAACCGAAGCAGAAAAGTCTGCAATTTTTGTTATCGTAATGCTATTTATGGCCAAGATCGCACATTTGATTGGAAAGAACTATTGTGAATTTGGTCTATGTGTTTACAAACTTTAGAAATATGGCGTATTATCCGAATCAATATAACTTTGTCTTAAGGTTTAATGTGAAGTATCTTGTTTTTGTTTGTTAAACATTTGATCTATTCTATTGAGATTATTTCTATTGAGAAGAAAATAAATATATCGTCTTTATTAAATATCGAGATGTATATTTATTTTATTCATATTCAAGCAGAAACAAGTAGAAGAAGAAGAAGAAGAAGAGATCATTCTACACAATATATACATTTCGAATTAATGACGATAAAACACTTTCATAAATTGTTCAATTGAAATAAGATTTTGTTTTAAAATATTTTCATTTTGAATATCAATTGATCGATGCATTATTTTCGGAGTCGGATAAACAATGGACGATTGATTTAATACAGTTACTCGACGTTTTATTAATTCATGTGATGGTTTTGGTGTTGATCGTACTTGTTGTCGATATTTATTATCTTTAACTGATATTTTATTAAATAAACGTTTATAAACATATTCAATAGTTTCAGTAAATGATTTATTTGATCGTAATATTTGTCGAGCTTGTTCATCATTTACAATAGTTTGAAGTAAAAAACAAATTTGTTCAAATAATTCACAATCATTTTTTTGATAATTTTTTAATAAAAGCATAATAAAATCTTTTATTTGTTCTGATCTATCAATTAATTTCATAATAAGATTATGTTTAACTGTAAATAATTGTAAAATATTTAATACTTTGCCAAGTGAAACAGTTAATGATTCACTTCGATTACAACATCTCATTAAAAGAAAAAATAAACGTAATAACCCTTGTTGAGCTATTAAATAACGTATTTCAATACAAGAATTTATAATTGATTCTATATCACGTATAAAATGTAAATACACAGTCAGAGATGATGTTGATAATTCATAATATTCGTGTACAATTTGTATCATACGTTTACGTAATGTTAATGACGAATTATTTTTTGAATCATATGAACGAAATTTTTCGACAATAGCAACAACAGGATGATTATCACGTTTATTATCAACACGAACTTGACGTCCACGCCAATGAGCCTAAAAAGAATATTAGTTCGTAACGAAATACAAATGCTCAATGATGTTTTTTTCATAGAATATATATCATAGAAAACTTATTTTGAAAATTTTATACGAGAGAAACTAGGATCAAAAAATTTTCATTGGGAATGATATCTTTTATGGTCATGTGAAACTAGCGTCAAATGGCATATTTTCACGATTCATGCGTTCTAGAATTTGACGCGAAAATTATTGGATAACGATTACTTGAATATTTGCTACTACAATTTCAATAGTAAAATTAGTCTCTTTTTTTTTGGTAAACAACAGAGCTGTCGAACACATAGATATGTATAACAAACAAAGTATTCATGAATTAAAAACAACTAATAGATCGTCAAGACGGAAAATATTAGAGATCGTACAAGATACTTCCAGTTTATTGCCACTGATAGCAAACAATACCGCATTTTTCGTTAGGACATGTATTACTAAATGCAAAATTAGGACCAAATTTTTTTGGCCGAGACATGGATCAAAACCGATTCGTCTCATTCACCACTGCTCTCATACAAAATTTCTAATCGTATATTCGAAAAGAGCAAAAAATTCTGGTCTTAACTTATCGGAAATATTTTTAGAGAGTCAAAAGTAAACAAACATCTTGTCTAAAAACTTTTCGATCATTCATTAGTTTCCGATAAACACTAAATGATGAATTTATATAATGTTGAAAGAGTAACAGATAAGATAGAATAAATCAATCATGAGATAGTTTCAAAATCTATAAAATCTAATAATTTACTTGAAAAACTTGCGCAGCATGTACTTCACGTTGTGTTTCTGATTGTTTTTCATGTGATATCTGTCTAATAGATTGACTATTATAACCCATTGATTCTTCATTTTTAAATGTTTGCTGTTGATGAGATAAAAACGTCATAAATATTTCTTTAATCATTTTTCTATTCACTGGATCAACCAAAGGTATCTATAGAAAACAAAAGAAAATTTACAAATATTTTTTTTTCTTTAACTTACTTCATCTAATTTATTTAATTCAATACCATCAATGTCAGATGAGATTGTTTCATCAATAAGAAATAAAGATGTACTATTAGTAGGATTTTTATTTTCTTCATTTTCAATTGTTTTTTCTAATTCAATAAAATCATTTAATGATATTGTTGCTGCAAATAATATTCGCTGATGATCTATTCTTGTTATTGAACTAAATGAATCTTCATCATCTTCATCATCATCATCATCATCACTATGATCTAATTCCGATAATAATTCAATACGATCAAGAATATCATAATTCATTGTATTTAAAATTGATTGTGAAAGTGCTCTTAATGGTAAATTTGTTATGTTTTCTTTATCTTCTTCTTCTTCTTCAAATATTAATTTTTCTTTAACAAAAGTATTAGTTGATATAGAAATTTCCGAAGAATTAATTGAATTCTCTTTATTTTTTATATCAATTATTGATTCATTATCATTAAAATATTTTTCTTTCAATTCTTTAAATAGTTTTTGATGACGAAAATCATTTTCATTATTATTATTATTTGAAAAAATTAAATCATGTGCAAGCATAGCTAAAATAATAATTGTACATCTTTCATCAGGTACATCTTTTGCATAATATTCATATTTAATAAAATCAGATGAAAATGTACCAAATAGTTTAATACATTCTTCTAATAAACGAAAATTTGATTTAACATTTCGTTCATAAATATTTATTAATTGTTGTTGTCCAAGTTCAACATTAAATTTTATATGTTCATTACGTGTTTGACATGTTGCTAATGTTGTTAAATGTTTTATATCACGTTTATAATCACATAAGGATGGTAAATAATATGAAATAATATATAATAATGCACGACCATCAGCAAATGATTCTTGTAAATCATATAACCAAAATTTATAATGTGCACAAATTAATTGTACCCATTTAATTAATAAATGAATAGTTGATGTCAAATTAATATGTTGTTTTTGTAAAGGAACAATATCAATTGTAATGAGTTGTTCTTCAATAGAACAAGATGCATATTTTGATAGATTTGTTTTAAGAATTGAAATTTCTTGATTTAATTTTTCTATTGGTGATAATTGTTTAGATAAATAACAAACAATAAATATACGCCAAAGTAATTCAAGAGTACATTGTTTGTTACCATTCATGATATCTTTATTTGAACTAGAAGAAAAAAGAAGTTGTCAGGGAAATTTTCATAGCAAAAATCACCTGACAAATGGAAGTCTATATCACAGCCTGTGTTAGTACAATTTTTTTTTTTTTGTTTTTAATATTCCAACATTATGTAAATCTAACATTGATACGAGTAAGAATATTTGTAAAGATGATGAATGATTTCAGTAAAATCGAATTCATCTTTCAAAGATATTCTATTCTGTATGATACTTGTTACTCGTAGTATTGCTTTACTGCATGACTCTGTAAACCTATTACAATAGCAGAATTCTTGTGCTGAGATCTAATAAATAGTGCTGCCAATAAAAGATTTTTCACTTCATCTTTGTTTTCAAAATGATGGTGAAACTCAATTATTCTCAAGTATAATTCCAGACCATTCGATCGAATCAAATAATAAACAAACAAAATATCATAACCTGATTTAAGAAAATATTTAATTCTATTTTACATGATACATAAAACCTTTCTTAATAGAGCGTCTAAATCGCTATCACGAAAATCTACCGATGTTTCAATCCTGTTATAAACCGATTTAAAACATAGATTCTTTTTAAAAACTTATTATCACTGAACGTACATTCTAGTTAAATTAACATGTCCATATGTTTGAAGTAATTCAAAAGCTTGATCAATATTAAGTAATTTATGAACAAGATTAACTACTGGACATTTTAATTTAGTTGATAAATCATATCTTGCAACATATTCATTTGTTGATGATAATAATATTTGTGCACAACGTGTTAAACGAATACCATCTTTTAAATCTTCCCATAATTTATTTTCATTATTTGTTAATAAATAATTAAATTCATCAAGTGATGTTTGTCTATATGTTGGTTCATATCCAGCTAATTTAAGACGACGTAAAAGATTTGTATCTGAACTAATAAAATCCTGTGATAAAATATCAATAGATTCCTTTGTTGATTTAAATTTTGAATCATAATTATATAAACATGGATCATTGTCAATTAAACGTAATAATTTTGCACGTTCAAGAAAAATAACCATTATTATTAAATTTTTAATGGTTAAACGAATTTGTACTGAAGCCGTTTTATTATTATTAAAAATTGATTTTTTTAAATTCATATCATTTAATGATAATGATACATTATTATTATGTAATTGAATAAGACATTGATCAATAGATGTTTTCATTTGTTGATAATTTTCAATATTTATTGAAAAAATAATTTCCATTGCTAAACGAAACCATATTCGGTTATATTGTGATATAAAATTTAATAATGCTTGTCGATTAACTGTTCTTGCAGAAAAATTTAAATCAGATTTGGGATTTATCCGACAATGATTAATATCAATATCAGAATTGATTTTTGTAGCTATGCTTTGAATATCACGTGCAAAGATTTCACGAGCATGATCACGTAATATATACCAACGATTTAATTCGGCTACAGATCTAAGTGTTTTTGTTGTTGTTCCTTCATTTGATACAGATTGATTTACTGTTGTATTACATATAAATTCTACAGGTGTAAATAAAGCATTGAGCCATATTGTATATGCATGTGTTTGTTTATCAATGGTATTGTTTGATGAAAGATTGAAGGGAATGCGTGCTCGTATAGCTGGTTGAAAGGACATTAGTGAAGGAACTTGTTTTAGAAAAAAAAAGAATTTGTCAAAAGAATATGAATAAAGAAAAAACTAACTAGATGGAAATTCAGAAACAGATAACAAATAATTGAGTACTGGTCTTTACACTGTGAAAGATTTTGGAATACGAGCTTTACATGTTATTTGAGGAAAGGGTCGAGATTTTCATCGATGTTAATGTGAAGCTATCACGGTGACGAACAATCAGATTCAAAAAAATTTAAACCAATAGAAAAGAAAGAAGAGAATATACCGCCATCAATCCATACAATACCAATATTTTTTCCTTAGTTAGCTTTGTCCAATAAAATGAACCTTTACTTTAAAAATAAATCGTAATAATAACAAGTCGAAAAAAAGATTTATGACAGTCACACTAACTATTTTCACATGATTCAAACAGGTCAGGTGAATTAGATCATGTCTACTATATGCAGCTTTAAGTTTTACATTGAACAGTGAACCGAACATACTTCAAAGCAGAGAAAATTTTCACGGATACAGTACCACCATAATTTTTGACGAATGATAGTAGTAACAAACAATTGAGGTATACTGTCGAATCATGTCCGGCACATAGGATGTGATTTGAACCATATAGGATTTAATTCTCTACCAATTGATGTAATTCTCATTGACCGAAAATACTCGGGAAAAACAGAGAACGTCTCATTAATACCGTAACCACCAGCATAGTTTCTCCGACGAATCTGACTATGTCCATCGGATGTGGAATTCCATTCTCAATCGAATAGTACCATTTTTAGAGGCGAAAAAATCTCTTATCAATTTTACAAGATCATAGTTTTTGAGCAATGACGATATCAACACTATTTATTTGCATATCGTCGATGAATGTGTGGTGACTCAGCTAGATCTATTAAATTCAGAAATAAGTTCTGTATTTTCTACATTCAATGTAATTTAACAGACATACTTATGTTGTCTTGACAAAATCGATGTTGGTGTTATCATACATTGAAGAATTTTATGGTACAGAACTTATGAGAAACTTTTTCTTCTTGAAATTACGTACGGTCGATAGAAAGACTACTATTCGATAGACGATTTAAACCTGTCTCCAAATCACTTGATCTAGTTTGCCGATCATATTTGTGCAGTATGAGATAAATTGACGTTGTTATCATGATTCGTCAAAAACTGCGATCTTATAATATTGATGAGAGACTTTCTTACCTCCGAAATTGTCTGATAAATACAAACAATAATTTTCGATAAAAACTCCAACGATGCAGCTGACAGGTCTACTGCATTCTGCTGGATATACTTTGGCGTTGTTGAAAAACTGATGTTGATACTATCATAAACTTCTGAGTGTGATACTATCATGTTGCTAAGAGATTTTCACTCTTTCGAACCATGTTCGGTAGATAAAAGTAATAATACTCGATAGATTGAAGTGGACTAATACAACAAATTTTACTGGTGTGAAAAACTTAGATATCGATAGCGTCATATGAAAAAATGATGTTACCGTATTCAGAAGATATTTCATTTCATGTAAAGTATGTCCAGTGAATAAGTGTAGTAATTTCTGATCAAGAATTCGATTCTCTATCTAATGGAACTGATTCTAGTCACCGAACATATTTTCGTGATATCAAGTTATTGGATGTTAATATCGCCTCTGATCAAAAAGAATGATAATACGTTATTGACGAGATATTTCCTCTTCGAAAATATGTCCAACACACTAATATAAAATGTGTTCTACTTTGTGACACATTTTCACAGTGTGCTTCGAATCTACTTTTCGGCATGTCTGTCATTTGCTTTTGCAAAATGAAATAATTACTACTTTTCCAGTTTAATTGAAATTACTCATGGTATTCGTCCAATCCTAGTAGTTTTGATTTCGATGAGGTCATTTCAATGCATTCCATTTTTGGAGCATTGATCAACTTCTCAACATGTTTTCGATATACATAACTGCATGTGCAAAACGAAACTGTGAATGATTGATTAGCCAATAGACGACGACACATTTCATTTTAGTCTGTATTATAGAAAAAAAGTGTAAAAATCAATATGCTATAATTCTTTAGTTGTTTTCGTTGTTGTTGAAGATCTGTTTTGTTATAAGTGTTTTTCAACATATTAATAATTATGTTAACAATCGATTGAAGTTTGTCGTCAAATATTTTTTTATAGTTAAATTAGTTCAATAAGATAAAATTGTTTAATAAAAATCTCATGAAAATGAATCGAAATCTATAAGAGACACTTAAAATTTATTTTCTGACAAATCTTTTAATCAACAGTCACAAAAATCTTATATACACATACACAGACATATAAATAAAGAGAAAGCTTAACGAACGAGATGTTCGAACGGTAGAAGATTGTGGACATAAGATTACATGATGAACGAATAAAAATATACTTTCTTAGTTAATTCAAAAGAATCATTTTTGTTCACAATGTATTACTATTTGATTATTTTCTCTTCAATAATAAGTCAAATTACTTGTAATTGTCTTTATCCTGAATGGAAGAACACTTGTCAAAAATATTGCATGGATAATCAATTCTATGAAATTCAACTCAATCAATGTTATAGCATGAATCCAAGTCAATTAAAATGTAAATGTAGTGGAAAAGTTTTAACTGAAAAAATAAAGAATATAATTGAGAATAACGATTCTAAATCATCTTCATTAATCACAACTTCTACAATTCTTAGTAACACTCATGGAAATGAAATATGTATTCCTTTTTATTCTTGTACAATTGGAAAAAACATTTGTCATGGTATCAATGCATATTGTACTTGCGATAATGGCACATGGGTTAGCATTTTATGTCCAAAAGAAAAGTTATGTAAGATACAAGATACAGACACAATGACAACTTGTCAAATGGTAGCATCAGTTGATGACAAGTTTTCATTATCTTCTATGTCTGGTTTAGCTGTTTCCATTACAATAGACAAATATTTTCATCTTTTCATTGTTTGTTTGTTAATTCTGCAAAAATAAAACCTTATAATTCAATTAAATATATGAAAATAAAAATGAAATGAATACATCATTTTTCTCAAGGCTATAATACTTCATGAAAGATTTTTTTTTGACTTTTTCTATATGAAATCAATGTTTGTCGTTCTCTTCTTCATGAACGAAGAGATTCATAAACACAAACATATCTTTGTTGGTTTTAATAGAACTTAGTTTTATCTTAGGAATCGAACACTAGACGTCAATTAATGAGAGATCAATATTTTCAACGATGAGATTGCGTAGGACCACTTTTTTGAATTTTCGAAAACTTGTTAAAGTTTCTGCTAATGAAGGTATAGGAGATAATTCACATAGTCGAAGTATACAACAGATGTTATATACAACCGTATTGGCTAAAAAGTATCATCAAAAATATCAACAAGAGAAAAAACAGCTAATGAATAAATGAAAAAAAATCACAAAATTGTCTCAGAAATCGTACTTCATGAGGTACTACGGAATTTCCACACAGACAACGACACATTTTCATTCGCTCTATGATCTATAGGATCCACTTCTTTCTTAGCAGAGCTTTAAGCAAGACTGTAAATTCATTACAAGTATCTATTCATGAATTGAGTATAAACCTTTGACAACGTTTTATATCAGCTACCCTTTTAATCTATGTGTTTCAGCACTTGAATTTGAATCTGCTTGGAAATTACATGATGCATTTGGAAAAATAGAAACTTCGAAAATATTACTTTCTGATACTTTGATTAGTTGTAATAAAAACTCGTTTCTCAGAATGGAACTGTTCAGATGAATACAAAAGCTCTCTTAATTTTAGCTGAAGGAAAAATGTAAACAATAAAGCTAATGAATAATTATTTGTATGTTATTTTGTCACTTATTATGATGCAACTTCTCTCGAGACAGCAGAATAACTCTCTCAATCTATTTTTTGTTGAGAAAACCTCGAAGTGTTTTCATCAGACATTCGAGAATTGTTGGAATGACTCGGAGAGTTTAGAGAACAGCGCCAAACACTAAACTTGGTCCTCTCGTTCGTTTAAGCAATGCATCGACTTCATTTTTTGATTTTCATCAATTGAAATTTACTAGATACAAAAATAATTTAGCAAGTTTTTAACAAGATTTTCATCTTTGTCACTCAGCTATTTTCAATGCAGAAGTTAACTCATGTCGAAATGATGAATCAACGCTGAAATAGCTCAGGCAGGAATCTAATATAATATTTATTGTTTAGAAAAAAATTTCTAAAACATCACTGTTTCATATGGAATTTTGGCTTCCTTGCATATTTTTAAAGATGCAAAACGAAGCAGTAAGTCTATTATAGCATTCGCTCATAAATTCTTATCTTTTCTGTTTTGCTTTGTTTTTTGTTTATATTATTTCATAACTATTTTTCTTGTTTGTTGGCTTGTTGTGTACACATAACTCAGCTTACAATGCTCTTTATCCTTCCTGTTTATAACAACATCGTTTCAGTATGATCATATGTGTGCGTTACTGCTCAATGGAAATTGTCAAGAAATTGCTCTNGAACGAAACGAGAAGGGACCCAAGTAAGACATCATCAAATGGGACCGATTTGAGAGAGGACCGAAGTGAGAGGTCATCGAATAGGACCGAAACGAAAAGGGACCGAATCGGGGATATCCCATAATAATAGCTCATCAATTGAAAAATCAAGCATTTTACTTGATTTTGTATCGAATAATTTACAACGAAAAACAAAAGAATATTTAAATGATTATCAAAAATTTTGATCTAATAAAATTTGAATGAATTGTATAGCAACGTTCATTAAATATACATATAGATCGAGATCGAGATCAAAATAGCAATATCAATACTTAATGAGACAAAGCAAAATTTTCGGATTCATAAATATTCAAATGAAAAACGATGAACAACACAGGAGATTATCTCTGATTACTTCATAACGATAGTTCTTTAGTCTCAAACTCATGTTGAAGAATATTCTTCATAATTCTTTGCATTCTTGAATATGATTTATAGGTTTGTTTGACAAAGAATATTTGTTAATAATCTATTCTAGCATCTATGAGAGAGCATATTTCTTTTTCTACTTATCTCATCTGATAATCGTCATGCTTAACATCATCGCTAATTAACATTCAATTTATGAATCAATCTTCATTTATTTTATAACTAAGCGAATAAGAACAACTAATTAAAGTGCTATTAACAAACGATAGCTACTAGGTATAAATATTCAAATAACAAAAAAATATAAAAGGTACGTCACAATAATATTTAATAAAATGAAGATAAGACAGGTGTTACGGATTGATGAGATGAGTCATCACTTCTATTTGTAAAGAGTTGTTTTATTATACAATAGGGTTAATTGTAACGGATCATAGTCGCTATATATATATAAGCATAGTCTGAACACATTATAAATATATTTCATTGCATAGAAAAACTTAAAAATTCAATTTGAACTTTACGATCAAACGACTATAGTAAAGAAACTTTTTTCATTTCGTAGTAAAATATAAGTCATCTCTCATAGATGAACAGTTTTTGAAAGTCACATCAGTGTCCATCAAGGAAAGATTTTACTATGCTTTAGATTCAATATTTTTATGATTATCAATTAGACCCTGTTTAAATTATGACATAATAATAACTTTTGACAACGATTAAAAACAGGTCTTCATATCTTTAGACAAATTCTATAGCAAAAACTGAACTAAGATAGCTTTTTAAATATGTTAAACTGAAATCAAGGTTTTTACAGATTATTGATTTATGGATTGTAACGCGCCGGGCATTGCTAAGGTGTCTGTCAAGGTCTTTAACATTTCCATGGTTACGTCTGTAGAGTCCAAAATTTTTACTCCTATGCTTCAATACTCATTTTAGATGTTTTTTCGAAAAATCAAGATCTTTTTCCAAAACAAATGTTAAGTAGTCTTATTGTAAATATAAGATAAGCTAGAATAGATGAGTGTATCACTTGTCTCAATCGAGTATATTTTAAAACATTACTAATCCTTTTATATTTCATAGAATATGAATACTTGTAAATATCAGTATCATTCGAGAGATAATAAAATCTGAATAAACTAACCTTGATGATAAGTGTCTTTTGGAAAGATTACGACTAATATTTAAAGAGATTCTTTTTCCTCATGAATAAATAAATAAAATTTTAAATGAAAATTTTTCTCCAGAAATAAAATCGAATGTATCAAAAAGTTTGATCGCTGTCGAATAATATATCTTAGCTAGATTATAAACTATTTTCTCATTTATATCTTATTTAAAAGAAAAAAAAAAATTTTTTTTTTTCTTACAGATGAATCTGGAGGATTACTGCCATCATTTATTCCCGATACTGGTTCTGCTGATGGTGGTGGTGTTGTTTGATCTGATTGATTAAAAAAATTTTTAGTTATAAGTTGAGAACGATGTCCACTAGTAATTGTTTTAGTTGGTGTATGTTCATCTGTTGATTGATTATTATTATGTTCATCATCTAATTCTTCATCATCAATATCCATTGGTTCATTTGGATCTTTTAATAAATCCGGATGATAATCAGTTTCATTTAATAAACGATTAGCATTTAAACAATCAATAATCCAATCTGGTGTTATTAAATGAATTTTTTCAGATTGAATTCCATATGCTGTATGAAGACGTTCATCATTATTTCGATGATTATTCATTATTTCACCGTCAGTATTATTTATTAATAATGCTGATGCACAAATAATATGTGTACAATTAGAATCATTTAAATTTGTTATCCATCGACCTCCATAATAAGTAACTAATGCATAAATTTTATAATGATCTTCATGTAATAAATTAGCATTTGCAAATGTACATGAACGAAATAAATGTTCAGTATTATTACTATCAACACTACGAAATGGATCAATTGGTAATAATGTATTACATTTTAAACATGATGTTATCCAATATGAATTAACAATTGGTGTTTGATATATTTCAATAGCTTGTTCTAATTCACTTTTATTACTGTCAAAATCATCACAAATGACATGTGTTGTTGTTTCAGTTAAATAAAATGATCTTATAGCACCATTTTGTTTAAATATACTTTCAAGTGTTGGATCACGGAAGCCAGTTGTAAAATATTTAATTGATGAAAATAATTTTGAATCATTTGTCGACATATCTAATAAAAAAAAAAAAGAAAAGAAACAAGTAAAAAAAAAAAGAAGAAAAAAAAACATGGATTTAAAAAAAAAGGAGTAAACCAATGACAAGAGTCATATTGTTTATTTTTTATGAATTGCGTGAATATACATAGCAATGCAGTTTAATATTAGAATTTAGATGGCATGTAGAAATCAATCTACATGAAAAGATTTCAAATAACTATTTCTTCCCAAAACAATGGCACTAATGTCTATGCTCATTTGTTTATTTGTCGATTTTTATTAATGATAATGACTCATCAATACTCTTTTTCCCTATTGGTTTATCAATGATGTATCAAAAAATGGGAGATCGGCGACATTGTTTGAGTTATTTTTATTTTAATCAGATTTATTCAAATCTTTTTACAAAACGAATGATATACATTAGCTAATATTGTTATTAAGAAAATTATCAATGAAAAATTTTCACAAGATTTAATGTCGAAAAGACATTGAAAAAAAAGAATACTCGCTAAAAAGATATTTTTTTATGTCATATAAATTTTTCATTATAAATAGATATCGAATCAATCGATCTATTTTAGATTAGTACACGATGAATGTCTTTCATTAATCAGATAACATAAGCATTTTTATGTCAAGAAAAGAGCTTTTTCTCACTTATATCAGTTTCTTAAAGTCAGAATATGGTGTTCATACGTGGGAGTTTTGAACAAATGATAAGAAGATAATTTTCATACAAATGATTTTGCTTGACAAGTTGTCCCTACATCTACATATTCACTTATGCAAAAGATATAGCAAAATTAGGAATTATGATTTTTGGTTATATCAAATCGTTCGACATTAGTGAAAAACAGCTTTTTAATACATAGCTCAATATGCTCTACAATCTAGAATTTTGAAGAGAACGTTGATGAATCATGTTTTTATTCGTCGTATAAAATCTTATCCATGGTTCTGCTGATAACAAAAATAATTGATGTTTCTACAATGATAGTTACATGTGTTTAGATGATCTTGATGATTTTGCCAAGTGTTTTGAATTTATTCATAGGATAACGTATGACTGTCAAAGATAAAATTCATGTCAAAAGAATGTTCAATGTTTTGAAAATAATTCAACGTGTCCTAATGCCACAATATCTACGTGCGACGACTAATTTTATAGTCTCTGTAATCAATTTTCAACAAAAGGATTTATTTAATTGCTTGATTCTATTCTAGGCTATTATATCAAGTTAAATATATCATCGAGTCGACATCAATTGACTATCAAATTGAGTATTTCATTAATTACATTAATACTTCTCACTGGACTTCTCATTGAAATTTTGTCAACAATGACATGCCGAAAGAAACAATCGAGAAACGTTGATAGTGATTTATATTTGATAGCTTCATCGAATATATCTATCTGTACAATGATCATATTGACATTCAAATTTAGGCATATTGTTTGGTCTCAGCAAGCTGTTTTAACAAATCGAATCATGCCTTATTAGTACTTGTATTGTAACAGATAAATGCGTGAAGACATTTTTAACAAATAGCAAATGGTTCAATACATGTGGGCCCTTTGAATGAATGTTTACTGTACTAAAATATCTCACTTTCAAGACGATCGAGAATATTTATCATTCTTATTTTGATCTTTTGCATACATATTCATGATAGCTCGTTATCGTTAGTTTATTGACGACTTTGATGCAAACAAAAAGCAAACATGATGTCTTATTTGATATCTACAACTCTTTTATCAATGTTTTTGATCTTTTTATTCCTTTATCAATCAATTTAATATTGACTATCGTCATAATTATATCAGTAGCTAATACACATTTCAACATTCAATCAAATATTTCATTTAATAGACATTTATGTGTCAACAAATCATGCGTAAAAAGCATCTCTTATTGATATCATGTCTACCTGTGATTTTCAGTCTACCATATCTCATTATTTTTCTACATTAGTGAATATATGAAACCTGCTTGTAAGTCAATATTATTTCTCATTGATTACTTCATTTCAATTGTTCCAATAGCTCTCTCACATTGATCGTATTTGTATAATCATCTCCAACATACATAGGAGAATTTAGTACAGCAGTACTATAAATAGGGTGACAATTATATCATGTATTTTAATCACTACACAGATCAAGAATTAAGATTGATTTCCGATCGGAAAATTCGAGAAAGTAGTAAGAACTTGAAAATAGGAATCCGCTGATCTGATCTGTTGACCAGTTCTATTGAATTACGGTCGGTTACGCCCGAAACTAGAAAAATCTCATCACTCGAGTCCTGTTTTTAAGTTCCTACTATTTAAACAAGCTTCCTCACCAGGAATGGCATCTTTTGGGCATGTGTCTGCCGGAAATTCACGGACCCAAACACTGAAGTCATTAACATGTGCAATCCAATATATAAAAAAAGTCGAGTGTATTCTGCTCGTAATCATATTTCTGGAAAAATAGTATTACTCATTGTTTATCGGTCTGTTCATATCCATATAAAAGCATAGTGAATAATAAAACGGACTACTAAAGAGACAGGGCATAACTTTTATTGTAGACAAATGAAAAACCATTTGTTTCTCATTTCGAAAAAAAAAAGTTGTCATTACAAGATGTCCCAATAGTTATTCTACACCCAGTGGCTTTGAAACTTGAATATCTTGATATCAACTAGGAAGTTCGTGTCGCTTTGGTTGTTGTCATGCTATACTGACAACAAACTTGATATAGAACTTGTGCATTATTCTTTATATTGGCATTTTAATTTGAAAACTTTCTAACAAGAATATGCTCTAGCATTAGTTTTGTGAAACATGATTTTTTAAGGGGTGTTGAAATGTATAGAATAGAAATTTACAAACTCCTTCTCCTCTCCCCCCCCCCCCCCCCGCCCCCCCCCCCCATCCCCCCCCAGAGAAGAGCTAATGCAAGGGATCCTTCGGGGATTTTTCTCATCTCACCGANTCTAAACAAGAATTGTCTTTGGATTTAGTTTGGGAAACCAGGTTTTTTTAGGGGGGGTGGAAAGTATAGAAAAGAAAATTACAAACCCCTCCCCCCCCCCCCCCCCCCTCTGTACCATACCAAAGATCATGACAGACGTTTTTGATACGCGATCAAAGACCGTATATTAATAACATCTCATTATAATACATGAACTACTTTCTTATTACATTTCTGGAAGACTAAGTAAAAAGGAAGAGTGAAGAAATGGGTCTCAAGATAGACAGAATAAACAATGACTCTGTGATTAGTAACAGCAGCTTCATTGTGTTTCACAGTTTAATCCCACAGGTATTACGCAGAGAGATTTTTCTATCGTTAATTATTATTCATCATTTCAGCGAAAATTAGCTATTTAGTCAGAACAAGTATGGGTTCTATCTCATAAGAGCATTAATAATCAATAGAATCAATCATACTGAATAAAAAAAATACTTATGTAATAAAATGAATCGTTAAAACGCGAGCAATTGGTATTGCAACATTTTTTTTTCTTTTAAAAGAAGACGCTGCTTATTTTAGAGCATTTACTTGACAGTTGTTTTTTATGAACAATAGAAAAAATGAGTTCGACTTATTTCATTTGCATTCTTCTCACCTACTTTTACAAAAAGAATAAAAATAAAAGTGAATTTCTTAGGCCAAGAACTTTTTCTTTCCTATTTTTTTCGTTAAAATTGCACAATGTTCCAATCTACTGTACATTCCGCATTGTGTTTTTGATTATTCAGTTGATAAATTTTGTTTTATAGCTTAAAACTCAAGATTTATTAGCAAATGGCTATTTAAAAACAAAAGAACGTTGTACTCAGTATTTCATTCGAAATCAAACAGCATATATAAATAAATACAGTATAAACTTACAATTCCGCTCACATTTATTATCTTTATATTTTCGATTTATAATAATTATTTATCAATAAGTAGCTGTTGATGTCGAATATAGTATGTCGAATGTTTCTTGGATGTATATTTCACTTAATACTAATGTTCATTCATCTTTTGACTCTAGCAAATGTATACTTATGCTATGCTGAGCATCAATAGAAGACTTAGATTAAATTCAATATGCTGCATTTCTTATTTATACTAAATATATTATCCATGTAAAAAAAAGAAATTGAATGCGTTCTATTGTAAAAACATAAAACAATAACATAATCATTGTTGAAAAAAAATTCTTTTAGCGACAAAGGTCAAGTTATTTGGATTAGAATCTATTTTTTAACAACTCAACATACTATCAATTTGTAAATGATGATATTAGATTTGAATCTCATAGTTAGTCGTAAATGGAAAAAAATACTTAAAACAAAAATTTTTGTACGTTTAATATGTTTAGTAAGAACTTTTTTCTTCATCATCTAGAATGATGCTACAAAAAAGAAAAGTAGATATGACTCATCTTCAAATGACTGTCATGCAGTATTTAGAAAAGAAAAAGAACGAAAAACAAATAGTTACTGATAAGAAGTTTGTTTGAAAATCAAAATGAAAAGAACAGATAGAGAAGACAAAAAATAAACATAACTCAACATTGTTTCATGTTCTTTTTTACGTTTGAATATTTACCGGCTTCAAACACAGTAAAAGGGAATTTATTCGAACACAAAACTCTTCTATCTTCATCATATTTTCAAGTATTCAAACAGCACAATCTTCTTGTAATATCAAAAGAGTTATAGTTAAACAATTTTAAAATTAACAAGGATGTCGTCAATTGAAGTATCATCTACTAAATTAGAATCGAATATAGAACGTCTTACACTTCGACCACAACGACCACCACCACCACCGCCATCCACACAATTTGAACCTTCTATTCCCATTGAACTTAAGAGAACATCTTTTGAACGTACATTTAAATTATTTCACTGTTCACTATTTATCTCTATTTATTTATAATTATAGTTGAAACAACATTTTCATCAACAGAAATATCCGATGAATCTAACAAAGATATAAAAGATAACCAATCATCATTTCTGTAAATTACAAGAAACAAAATTCTTTTATATCTAGACAATGTTTTTGTTTTTATTCATAGATATGAATTCAAAGATCTATTTGATTCATTTGATTATAAAACAGTTCGTAATAAAATTTTAAGTCGACAGATGACAACATGTCCATTTACTACTGTTTTATGGCGTATTTTTTTACATTGTTTATCACGTGATTCAAGCCAATGGAATCAAATAATTGATGCATCACGTGAACATTATGATGAACTTGTTGATAGATATCTGCTTGATATGAAAAAAATACGAGAAAATAATGGTGATGCAAAAGATGTCAATCATCCACTTTCTCAAGAAGAAAATGTAATCAAATAATCCTCCAACCGATCATTATCGTTTTTATAATATATCTATAATTTAGAGTCTTTGGAATCAATATTATGTTTATGAAGAACTCAAAGAAAATATTTATCAAGATGTTATACGAACGTGAATAATTAAATTTATTTATTTATTTATTTCCTTTTTGGAAAATTTTTTCTTCATTTTTAGTTGTCAAGAAATATCATTTTTTCGACAAAAACATATTCTTGATCTTTTATTATATGTTTTATATGTTCATAGTCGACATTATGGACAAACATTACCTTATCGACAAGTAAATAAAATGAAATTATTTTTCTTCAATATAAATAAAATTTTGTAGGGAATGCATGAAATTCTTGCTGTTATTGTCCATTTAATGTATTTGGAAAGTATAACAGTAAATGAATATTCTGAATCAAATGAATTAATGAAAAAACTTTATGATCCAGAATATCTTGCTCATGATTCTTTGTAATTGTTATAGTAATTTTTATTATGTAGATTTTTTTTTAATATAATTTTTTCTTAGTGCAATTTATGAAAAAATAATGGAACATCTTCAACCATTCTATGATTTTAAATCAAACAATATAGTCACACGTAAAGTAAGAAATGTTCTAATTAGTTTGTCAAATTGAATCTTTTGCTTTCAATACAGAATATCAATATGAATGTTAATAAACATATGCCATTCCAAAGATCACATGATGTACAAGTTCAAATGAATGATACTGTCATGCGAGTGAACTCTATTTTTGAACTTTTAAAAAATTATGATTTACCACTTTATGAAAAACTTCAAGCTTTAAGCATTGAACCAACAGTCTACGGCATGTAAGAAATACTACCAATGACGAATTTCAAAGAAATTATATTTTGTAAAATTTTTACAGAATATTTAAAAAAAGTTGCTTGCAATTTATTTCATTTGGTAGTGAAAAGTTCAATGTCTCAAAAAATGACATTCTAATTTTAAAAATACTCTTTTATATAATAGTAATACAACTTAATTCAAAAACAAAGCTCTGTCATGCCTTACATCTTGACATGATCTTTGAAACAAAATAAAAGCAACTATTGATTTCAATGAAGCTTTTTTTTCAGAATTCAGCGATGGGCGATTAAAAAAAAAAGTCATATTTTTCATGCAGAAAATTATGAAAATTTTTGGGAAAAATAATGTACCATATAAAAAAAATGTCATTTATGAACGGCCAGATCACAGACTATCTTTCCATACACTTAATCTCAATTTTTATATTTTCCACAAAAATTTACTTGTGTTGCGAAGGAGAGACGAAGCCTTATCTAGATAGATTTTAAAATATTTTAGCCGATGGGAAGAATTTCCCATTTTAAAAACAATATTTTTTCTTCTTTTTTTTAATTTATGCAGACGTTGGCTTCGACTTTTATTTGGACGTGAAATTCCCTTTGGTTCCATTCCAAGTAATATAATACTGATCAAGAATAAAAGACCAACGTTTTTTTTCATTGTTTTTCTACGATATCAAGCATTAAACTCAAATCAAAATAGTTCATTGAATAGCCAATGAAGTTCTCCAATCAAATGTATTTCAATACTGAATTTTCATGGATAGACTATGAGAAGCAGGCTTCTGAAAAACCAAACATAATAGCTTTTAGATCTCAGAAACCCTGAAAATTAGCTTTTAAGGATATTATCTCAAAAAGCACAAAATTCTGCATAAGATGACAAGTTGTCGCTTGACTTATGACATTCCCTTAACAAAGTTATAAGAATTACAAAAAACAAAAAAAAGAACGTTTTTTTAGCAATACTATAATAAGTTTAGTGTTTGTTTTTTCATTTTTCGTAATGCTTATAGGTTTTTATATGAAGGTCATAAAAAAATACATCAATCTTTTATTTTATTCAAGATTTTGTGCTCTTTATTATGGGATGCGTAAAAAACTAATTTTCATGCGGTCGTCTGAGACCTGAAAGTTACCCTGTTCGATTTTCCAGGAATCCTCTTCTTGTAGCTCGTCTATAAATTTTTAGTATGAATTGCATTTAATAGAGAATTTAATTGGCTATTCAAACCACTATTTAGATTTGAATTGAATACTGAAGATCGTAGAAAAAAAGTAAAAAATACATTGGTTTTAATATTTTTTTGAACAGCAGTTTATATATCTTTATTAATATATCATTCAAAATTCTTTTTTTTCCTTTCTTGAGGGTTATGGACAGTAATATTTTGTTATGATGAATGTTTTAAGTTTGTTAATTATTTTTTTCTTGCACTTCTGATGGATATTGGACGACAATGTATGTTACTATATTTTATTACAATTATGTCATTAGAAAAATTATTTTCTTTAGTTCAAAAAGATGGTGTTTTAGAATATAGTTGTTGTTTACAATATCTCATGCAACCAAATGTTGTTTCTAATGTTGAAAATATCATTCACAATGCACTTACTTTAGAGAAAAGCTCTCGAACAAAACAATTTCAACGTTCATCATCAAATCTTTCTTCCGAATCGACGCACAATCGTTCAATTACAACAGAAATACAAAAGCCGGTATCACCAATACAAAGTTTTTCACAAAATCCTCTAATGGATTCAATAAAAAGCAATTCTACAAGTCGATTAATTTCATTAGCACAAACATCAAAACCTGTTCCTTCTAGTCCATCAATAGATTCTGAAATGGATGTATGAATTTTACTAATTGTAATTATTGTTATTCGCATCTATATATTCATTATAGGTCTGTCCTGGAAAAGAAACACGTCAAAGATTTGATGATAATATTCAAATACAAAAATATTGTGCTGAATTTATGAATAAATTCATTAGTATATAATCTATTCTATCTATATATTTAAATCATAATATATATATATATATATATTCTCATTAGATCGAATACAAAGTCATATATGTGAATTACAAGCTCCAAATGAAGAAGATGTATTAATTCAATTGACTGGTTTAAAACAAGTAAATCTATAATATTTGACAAATTTAATAATGATATTTGATTGAAATTATTAATCTTTAGATTGCTAATATACTTGAAGGCAAATTAATATTTGATGATGATTCTCTTCAAGCTCTTCTCAATTATCAATACAGAGAAAAATCAATCAAAAATGATATTAATGATACAGCTTGATTTATGATAACAAAAGAGTTTATTGTTGATATGTGATTGTTTTATTTTCTTTTTATTAAACTACTTTCTGCTACCATTAAATGCATGTTTTTTTCTTATCATTCGTTTATTTGTATAAAAATATGTCTTATTGAAAATAATACTGACAAAGGAATCTTTCCGGTTGTCAAATCGCTTGTCGACCGAGACGATGTTCATTTGATGAGTAATAGAAAAGTCTAGAATGGTTTGGTTTTCATAGGATTCATTCTTGATTATCAAAATTTTACTGAGTTTTTTCAAAAAAAAAAGCTATGGTCACCCTCAGATCACGAAGAACTTTCGACTTTGAACTTTGCCGAAACAGAGTACTTAATTAGGTTAGATGTTTGGGTAACTAATATTACCTTTCTGAAGATGTAAATATATGATCAAAATTTGCTTTCATACATGAGAAAATTTTGAATGTTGAATATCTTAGAAAAGTTATAATTTGACCAATTGAACTGATTCGATTGAGAACTCTATTTGTGCAAAGTTTGAAATTGAAACGCGAAAGTCGATTTTCCACATGACCTGAGGTAAACTACAGCTTCTACTCACTAGCACTCATCAAATAAACATCGTATTGGTCGAAAATTGATTGAATATCTGAAGAGATTCCTCGTGAATAAGAAAATCACAAATGACTAGAACGATATCAATTTGATCTACGTGCTAATAAGAATTGTTTTAGAATTTCTGTATTAAGTATTGATACACTCAGACTAATAATAGAATATTTCTATAATTGTTAGTTAAATAGAATAATGAGAATTTATTTGAAAATAAACAAATAATAAAAGCAGCTTATTAAACTATATGTTTAAGTTTTATGCCGTTTCTGGTATCGTTTTAGCAAAAAAATTCTTTCAAATCTTTATATGATATTGATTTTGTTTTTTTAGTTCTAACGTATGATTACATTAAAAATGACGAGAATAAGATTTGTCATACATGATTCTTTTTTATGTAGTAACTCTATCAAGCTTTGGTCACATTTGCATGTGATTAATAATTATGATCTTATCAACTTGTACTTTTTCTTGTTGAATGAACAAGACAGTGTAATTTGTACTTTGCGTGATTGCAAATACATTTCATTAACACGCTGGCTCCAACAGTGACTATGACTACTACTACTACAACAATTGTAATGTTCAGCTTGATATGATCAATAAGCATGTTCTTTTTCTTTCTCTTTTGTTCGCCTCTTTTGTCTGTGTTAATGAAAAGCTTGTTGCACCAGATGGCAAGAGAGGAGCAGTATACACAAAGACGTTAGGTGTTAGAACAGTACTAAACTAATCATATTATATTGATTACTTTGATTTGTATATTTATAAAAAAAAAAAAAAAAAAAAAAAAAAACTTAACATATGATAGAATGTAATGATAGGCTAGTGACTTTTACATACATCTCTTTTTACTATATACATGTCAAAAGATTATTATTGATCATTATGATTGTTCTATGTATACAGTATATTACAACAATATTTCAATCATCGTTATTAGTATCTGTCATTTCTTTTAGTAAAGTCTATGAGATATATACATGTTGTATTTCTGCTCATCATATATTCGAAATATGATTATATTGACGCATCATGTGCTGGTCGGCTCGTTTCGTTTATTCAGCATAATGACAGATGGTAAGCCACTTGAGAACAAAAATGAGATTGAACATCCCCTCATAGCTATTCTTCTTCGCCTGTTGCTTCCTCATTTAAACAGCCATTCATTCATGTTTAACATCGATGATTATCATCATTATCATTAACTGAAGTAGTCATAAAAAAAAAGAAACAATAAAACAAGAATGACTATTTGCCTATGTATTCTTTCAGCATAATCCTCTACATAACTCTATTTTCTTACCTATAAAGAATAATATGTACAAATACTTACTAATATATCTCGAACATATGTATGTATAATGATCAATCATCTATTTCCTTCTTAATCTTTTTTTTACAGTAACGGTACTTACAAATATTAAAGTATGGCTCAACACACGCAAATATTGTTCTTTGTTTTTTTTTGTGCACACATAGTGATAATGATCATACTCATTGTTACGAAGGAAACGTGCACGCAACCTTATCACAATAGAAGTGTTAACTGTATTGGATGATAGAAAACGTCGGCAATCGACTTCCGTCTTGGCATAAGCAGCGTGCTATTTTTCCATTAAAATAATCATCTAATATTGCCGCACATCGTCATTATCATCTCATCGTCGAGTCATTAAACCGAGGCAACAGCAGTTGTGGCGTCTGTTTATGTATACTCTATTACCAGTCGCGTTTATCTATGCATAAGAGAGCAGCTTTTCGTTGTTGCTCCTCTCTCTTCATTCTTCCTCATGTCAAATATTCATCTCTCATATATGTATATGTATTGATTGAGCGTTGTTGGTATCGTCAACAAGAAAATGAAGACGTGCGCATGCACATACGTATATTTTCCTTCGACAAATAGTGTACTACGATCGATCTCTCTTTAGGTTACTACATAATGGAAAAATTATCCTGATGAACATAGACATACATCAGGAATCGGTTTAGCTTAAGCAAATATACAGAATGTGGCCACAATTAGGTAAATAGTAATATTGAAAAGGAATAAGTTATGATAGGATTTTTGATACGGACCAATGTCCTTGCTCTGCTATACTTTCTTTTTCCCCTTGTGATCAACAAAGAAAAAAAAGATTGCTTGGATGATTAGAAGATGAAGAGTCAAGTAACTTACATAACTTATATATAAGCTCATATGAGCGAAAAGACATCTGGAACAAGTATTGAACTCGTCTACCATATCGACCGTATATGCTTCTTAATAAATTCATGTATGTATATATGCATGTATCGTGCTTGAATATACGGTTGATATCACAAACGAGTTAAATGAATCACGCTTATTCTGTTCTGCTAGAAAATATACATGTGGGAAAACGGAGAAATGTTCAAAGAAATGAATCATTCCTTAGGGAAATTCGTCTCATATTCTCTTAGACAAAATACACCCCGAGATGAAAATGGTAATGTTTACTCTAAGAAAATTCTATGTACAATTCACCATGACTATCATCAGCAACTTCCCTACTGTGTAGTTTACTCATTACCATGCTATTATTTATAGCTACTTGTATTCTTTAAACAACACCTTGTTAGGTTTGTATATATGTTATTGTTTAGCTATTATTGCACTATATGCTTATGTTCTATGTTCAATTGAAATCTCATTGTAATAGGATTAAAAGAATAATTGACAGAATATAAACAACTTTTATTCTGTATACATATCAATTGTATTGTATTTGTGCATATTAAATATTTTAAAAAGACAATATTTGCCAACAGTTGTAGTAGTTCATATACTTTGATTTACTCATTTCGTATTACTTATTTCATTAACACTTCTTTCTATGCATAGAAATAATGTTTAATCAGTTTAAATGTTCATGAGAAGATCATCAATCTTTGTGCTTACTTTTGGTTTTTGAATGCATAAGCACGTAGTATTATGATTAGTTACTTATTCATTATTGAAATTTTTACTTTTAAAAATAATATTCTAATTTGTTGTAGTCTTATAGTCTACCTTCAATTTATTTAGATCAAAGAACATAGAACAGCGGTCAATATTTTCAATTCTCTCTCATATGCTTACATGCACATGTCAACATCATATACATAATATGTGTGTGTAGTACGTTCATCAATTGAGCCTTGACCGTATGCGTAGCGATATCTTCGTACTCGATGACTACTACTATTACTTTTCTACTAATTGACAATTACTCTATGTTTATGGTCACACTTACCTATCGACACGAGCACACATCATCGACTGATTTAAGGGAGCTGAAAGAAGAAGGAAGTTAGGTAAGAAGACAAGAAAGACATTTGAAAGATGAGGTGTGAAGGATGATATAGGAGAAGTACGTTATCAGTATGTATATATACATATATATCAATACATATTGATAAGAAACAATGAATAGGTGCCTCAATTCTCTCGCATACATTGCATCATTATTACGACCACAACGACAACGATCTATTGATGCCGAGAAAGTAAAAAAAAGAAAGGAAGTCAATACTCGACTATCTTCATTTCCATTGTATACTAATTTGTACAACTAAACACTGATTTTATCAAATCTATCATTTTGACAATCGTTGCGCTTCTTTCTATTTTTTCTTTATATATATATATATATGTATACTATAGATCTTATTTCTTTCAATTGTTCATATTTAGTTGTTCGGACATTTGCATGTCAAAAAAGACAACTATAAGTGATTTTGTCATTCATTCTTTTTTTGACATACGTACAAATTGTTATCGACTTTGAACTTTTTTTCCCTTTTTTTCTCTCTCGTTTTAACTTCAGTATAATAAACGAATGAGACGGCGATCAATAAGAATAGCCGTTCATTCTCCTGTCCTCTTTTACCGGTTAGAACTTCCGTTTTCCGTTTGATTTCCTATTTCAACTATGACTATTTCTTAGTTTCTTTTATAGATGATAAATCGAGATCGATTCGAGTCAAATAATGATAGTATTTTTCATTTATTGATTCATATACAACAGTGAATATTAATTAGCGATTAATAATGTTATTATATATTCTTATTTTTTCATCATGTATGTCTTCACTTTATTCATTTAATTATCAAACAGTTGAACATTGGAGATATTTAAGACAAGAAAAATTCACACATAAACCATCATATTTTGGTTATTCATTAGCTGTTCATCGATCAAGGTACAATTTACATCAATTAAATATTCATAGAAAATCTTTATTATTATTATTATTTTTTTTTCTAAAGTTTACTTGTTGGTGCACCTCGTGATCATTCCTCACATGATATTATACCAAGACGTGGTGCTGTATGGAAATGTCAATTTCATTCAGATACAATTTGTCAACGTATGCCATTTCGCCGTAATGGTAAAACGAAAGAAAGAAAATTTTCTTTTTATTAAAAATTTTTATTTATATTCTTAGGTGAAGCAAATGTTCGTGTTGGTACATCATATGATAATAAAACAGATCAATGGTTAGGTGCTTCATTAGCAGCTAATGATGGACATATAATAGTAAGTTTTGATTTAATTTTTAGAAACGAATATATACAGAAGTTGGGTTTTTTTTTTGTTATTCAGGCAGGTGCACCATTTCTTAAACATCGTATAAATGATGGACAAAATCTTGAATATGAAATACCAGGTGGTGCACTTATTGGAAAATACGGTACATCATTATCAATGATAGATGATACACAAATATTTTCTCCATCATTTCTCAATTGGCGTATGTATTTTATTTGTATAGATTTTATATGAAAATAAATATATATATATATATATATATGTTTACAGATTCTCGAAATTATAATCAAGAAGGTTATGGCGAATTTGGTTTTCAAGTAGCATTAAGTGAAAAACCAGAACGTATTATTATAACAGCACCAGGATCATTTTATTTTCGGGGTAAGAAACAAGAAATAATAAGTTTAAAAGTAAAAATAAAAATACATATTCAATTAGGAGGAATACATTCAATTCCAATACTTGAAAAAAATTGGATTGATACAAGACATCCATTTACTTCTCCACATTATCAATGGCGTGATGCTGGTTGGCTTCGATATCCATCAAATTATTCATCAAATGAATATGATGATTGGTGTTATCGGGGTAATGATGACAATTTTTTATTGATAATCAATATGAAATTTATTTGATTTTTTTTTGTTTGTTCAGGTTATGCGTTAGCTATAGGAAATTTTAATGATGATGATAATCAAGGTAATAACGTATTTATTTTTCTAATAATAATTAAACAAGAAAGAAATCATTTATTTTGAATAGAAATTGTTGTTAGTATACCAAAATTAGATAATTATCGTGGAGCAATTGAAATTATGAACAGTAATCTTGATGAATATTCTATTCGAACATTAAATGGTTCACAAATGGGAGAATATTTTGGTGCATCATTATGTGTTGTTGATATTAATAATGATGGGTAAATATTAAAATTAATTTTAATTTTTTTGTTTATTTTCTTTTGTTTAATAGACTTGATGATTTATTAGTTGGTGCACCTTTCTATACAGTGAAAAAAGATGGTCGAATTATAGCAGATGCTGGTCGAGTTGATATATTTTATCAAACAGCTGAGGTTTAATATTTTCTCTCGAAAATAAGAATTATTTATAATTGAAATTATTTAGCATAATCTTATACGAAAACAAACTATTGAAGGAACACGAGAAGGAGGTCGATTAGGACATGCATTAGCAAATTTAGGTGATATTGATAAAGATGGTTATAATGGTATGATAATAAATCAAATAATATCGATTGAATAATTATTTTCTGTGTACATAGATGTAGCTATTTCAATTCCTTTTGCTAATCATGGTTCATCTAATATGGTACATATTTATCGTGGATCAAAAGAAGGACTTATTTTAACACCATCACAAGTGAGTAGAGCAATAATTAAAGATTATTTTTTGTAGTAAAAAAAAAAACTAACGAGAAAAGTGACCTAACTGGTAAATTGCGTTTAACTTGGGGGTATGTGTCTCATGTTGTCTCTAATGAGTTATGAATATGTCAAAAAGGGTTCGAACCCATAGCTTATTGTTGTCGACGTATTGCGTTCATAAAGTATACTTGCCGGGAATAGTTTATTACGAGAAGTTTCAGATATTTTCGTCATTCCTATCTCAAGATAGAATCATGGTAAAAGCATGTCTTGTGCATTGTTCATATATAATCACAAATTTGATATCCTGGTTTCAGGACAGAAACAGATCACATGGTTTAATACTTTCACGATTAACTATTTGTCTTAAGGCGTGTTTCTATACAAAGTTTAAAGTCGAAATTCGAAAATTAGTGTTCTTGAGGATGACAAGCACGGTATTGAATTGAAACAGGCTGTAAAAATGCAATATGTCGACAGCAATAAGTAATGGACACGAACTCTTTTCTGATTATTCATAACTCATTAGTTTATATGATGCACATACTTCCGGTTCAAAAAGCAATTGATCAATTGAAGAACTTCCCTCATAAGATACAATGGGATTTTTTTAAACTTCTATATTAATGAGATACTTCTTTCAGATACTTCGAATAACATCATTAAAAGGATTCGGTTGGGCATTACGAGGTCAATTTGATTATGATAATAATGGCTATTTAGGTAACACATATAATGAATGTCCTTATATCATGTATGATTTTTATTCATAAATTACAGATTTAGCCGTAAGCAGTATCCACTCGGAAACCGTTGCTATCATATTGTATGTTATTGAAATCGATTCTTCTGTGTAAATTTTTTTTCTTTTCATAAAGAACACGACCTGTATTACGTTTACAAACAAAATTACATCATAGTTCACCAACAATTCCACTTAATTGTACATTACGTAGTGATGATGCATGGTAAAGAAATCGTGTGTTTTATTTTGCTTTTATTAAATTATCTATTTCATTTTTTTTCCTAGTTTTATTTTAACTATATGTATTTATCTACATGATTCTAAATATCAACCTTCAAAACGTGATAGTTAGTACTAAGAAAAAAAAGAGACGAATATAGAAAATGAATGTTTTGTTTAATTTTTTTTCAGCATTAACATATGAAGTACAACTTGATAAAGACAAAGATCAAGTTGATAAACGATTATTATTTCGAGAGTCATACAAACCTTTTAAAAAACGACAATTAAAGTTATCAAATCGTCTTTGTCATGATTATTCATTATATATCAAAGTATGTTGTATCTATTGGCATTATAAAGGGAGGTGGGGGGGGGGGGGGGGGGGGGGGGCGCCCCCCCCCCCCCCCCACACAACATGTTGTGTGTGGTTGTGTTTAGTGGGGACTACGTGACTGTGGCAGTATATAAAATATTGTTNGAATTTTCAGTTTAAATTAATGTTCAAAACAATATTTTATAACCGTCCAATGAAAATGAAGTAATGGGTATATAGTAGATTCTGGTAGGTTATGCTTAGCTTCGAATGTTATAGATTTCAAAAGAATTCGTAAATATCTAAAATTCACTAAAATGCGCCATAGTACACGAAAAAAATGTCTATTAATTCTAAACGCTGTGGAAATATGGCAAAAACACTAGAAACTGATAATCCATGATAAAAAACTGCGCTAAAGAGGAAACGCTTATTATGTTCAATTATGTAAAGATATGAAAACGAAATCCTCTAATGACAAAAATAGATTATAAGTTTCGACGAAATCGATTAAGCTCATATTAAATAGATGAATTCACTATTGTAGCCGCGAGATTTTGTCAAAATCCTTATACCCTAGATTCTCTATTTGATTTCGGAAGAAACCAATAAAATTTATGTGATTAGTACAATAATTTGATAGCGAATAAACCGATTGCAACATGTACGAACAGAAGGGACTCAGTTGCTTAAATGAAAAATCGTAGGAATCAATTCTAGATTTGAAATCCTTTTATTAGACGAGTTGTTCCATGGGACACTTTTGGGATCCCATTGGGAACTATGACTCTCACGTACAAACTGAGCTTTAGAAAGCAATTCAAAAAATGATCTGGAATCTTTCAGAATGATCTCTCGGGTTTACGTGAACAATAGTCAACAATAACTGATTTGCTGTAGCGGAATATGCTTCAGTCTGTTTAAAAATTTATAGAAAAGCGTCATCATGTGAAGTGAATTCCATCCAGTATTACGCGGTAACTGAATATCTGTCCCACTCCATAAAAAAACCTTTCAAAAATAATAAAACAATCTTTGTGAAAGCTTCTCGTGCACCTTGCGGTTCGTATAGCGAACAAGCACTTACAAAAGATTCGTGTCTTCCTACGAGAGTTTTCGATTTTTTTTCTTTTTGCCTTCAAAGGACTTTTTATGCGAATCTATAGAAGACTGGATCCTGATTTCTACTGAATAAAATCTATAGCACTTTATCTAATCTTTCTATTAATTTTCGAATCAATTCAATTATATTTTTCATGGCTCATGAATTAGTTTTGATTATCTTTCAATAATTTACCCAAATATATTTCTGGAGAGCGCATTTTAACTCTTACATAACTTTAGGGTGTTCAGTATGTGCTTCAAAATTACACTAATAGGACTTCAATTGATTAGAAACTTCGTGATATTGGTCCCTGAAAGTATCATGGTTCCAGTCAAAATCTTGATTTCGTCAAAGATCGAATGAGCGCGATTTGAACAACTGAGGCCGTGAATTTTCTTTGAGACTAAGTCTCAATGAGATTCCAATGCTGTCAAAATAACTACATACTAGCACGGCTTGTTAATGAAAGATCTATACTCATAATACCGGAAATGTTCGTTTTGCTGTGCATCTCATTTCGTGGTACTAATGAACTCATCAATAGTGTACTCATTGAAACTCATTATTTCCAACTACTATATTGAGTTCAGACGTACACATACTAAGCAACTGAAGTCAAATAGATGTGTTGTCGCTAGAAACTATGTAGAATACGAGACCAAAAAATGTGGTTTTTAGATAGCATTCTCAGCAATATTTGAGTACTTTGAGAAGTGAGCAATCTGTTTTCAAAGAATTTAGGTCAAAAGTCTTGAAACTCTTAGTTCTAAAACTTATTTGAAATCAGAAAAGCGTAACAACGTTCATTGAAGGCAAGTTCCGTCGTGTCACATGAAGACTGACTTATAGAATGGCATCCCCGACCTTCTGTGTTCTACTCGGCATTTTTCACATCATTCCTTTTCATCCAAGAGGAAAGGTAGATTCGTGAATACCCAGCTACACTGTTTTATCTTTCCTATTTCTATGAGATTCTCGTATCGCCGATACGGTGACTATTCGGAGGATCCAATGGCGATCCATACAATCCAGCGGATACAACGGAAATCCAGACAATCCCACAAACCCGGCGATCCGCTTTTTTCCCTTGTGTGGGATCCTTAATAAAAACGAAAGTCGTGTAGGTCTCTAGTGGAACTGTCAGTGAAGTTATAGTGGTACTGAGATCGGGTCACAAACTCAGAAGACTTTCTGATCATCAGCCAAGCTTNACTTCATCAACCCACTCATCAACCCTTTAGAGTGAGTTTTTGCGATTCATAAACCCCATATTCATCCCTTTTTTTATGATTTATGAAAGGGTTTATGACACCTTAATAAACCCTTTCAAAGAGTTTGCTATACGTTGCACTTTCATAAACCCTTTTTTCGTTTTTTATTCTACGGATTTTTTTTTCAGTATACACCCACACCCACACCCACACCCTAAGGACCATTAGATCCATCTGTGGACAAAATTTCAGGTTGAAATTCTTTAATTCGATTGTTTCGAAAATCCCTTTGCCACAGGTCAAAAATCCAGTAAAACGGCCATAACTCTTCACCAATAAGTCATGGGCACGAATCCTTTTAGACTTTACTTAGTCTCACAGAGACCTACCTCGTAGCCATAATATGGGATCGAACGGTGTTCGTCAGTTCGGGACCTTCCCTCGCGAGTATCTATCCCACTCCATAAAAAATATTTCAAAGGTAATAAAAAATTCTTTGTGAAAGCTTCTCGTGCGCCTTGCGGTCTGTATAGCGAAGAAGGACATACGAAAGATTCGTGTCTTCCGAGGGGAGTTTTCAAATTTTTTTCTTTGTCTTCAAAGGAGTCTTTATGGGAATCTATAGAAGACTGTATCCTGATTTATGCTGAATAAAATCTATAGCACTTAATTTAATCTTTCTATTAATTTTCGAATGAATTCGATTATATTTTCCATGGCTCATGGATTAGTTTTGACCATGTTTCAATAATTTACCCAAGTATATTTCTGGAGAGCGCATTTTAACTCTTACATAACTTTAGGGCGTTCAGTATGTGCCTGAAAAAGACACTAATAGGACTTCAATTGATCAGATACTTTGTGATATTGGTCCTTGAAAGTAGCGTGGTTTCGGGCAAAATCTTGATTTTGTCAAAGGTCGAATGAGCGCGATTTGAACAATTCAGGCAGTGAGTTTTCTTTGAGACTAAGTCTCCATGATATTCCACTGCTGTTAAAATAATTGCATACCAGCACGGTTTGTTAATAAAATATCTATACTCATAATACCGGAAATGTTCATTTTGCCGTGCATCTCATCTCGTAATACTAATGAACTCATCGATAGTGTACTCATTTAAACTCATTATTTCCCACTACTATATTGAGTTCAGACGTACACATACTAAGCAACTGAAATCAAACAGATGTGTTGTCGCTAGAAACTATGTAGAATACGAGACCAAAAAATGTGGTTTTTAGATAGCATTCTCAGCAATATTTGAGTACTTTGGGAAGTGAACAATCTGTTTTCAAAGAATTTAGGTCAAAAATCTTGAAACTCTTAGTTCTAAAACTTATTTAAAATCAGAAAAGCGTAACAAAGTTCATTGAAGGCAAGTTCCGTCGTGTCACATGAAGACTGACTAATAGAATGACATCACCGAACTTCTGTGTTCTACTCGGCATTTTTCACATCATTCCTTTTCATCCAAGAGGAAAGGCAGATTCGTGAATACCCAGCTGCACTGTTTTCTCTTTCCTATTTCTATGAGATTCTCGTATCGCCGATACGGTGACAATTCGGAGGATCCAATGGCGATCCATACAATCCAGCGGATACAACGGAAATCCAGACAATCCTACAATCCGGCGATCCGCTTTTCCTCCATTGTGTGGGACCCTTAATAAAAACGAAAGTCGTGTGGGTTCCTAGTGAAACTGTCAGTGAAGTTATAGTGGTACTGAGATCGGGTCACAAACTCAGAAGACTTTCTGATCATCAGCCAAGCTTCAACACTTGTGGGATGATCATGGATAGCCTGAAATGTACTGAAGTCGCTACTGATGACTAGCGGCTGGTGGTACGGTTAGTGAATTCGGTGCAAGTGCTTGAAGTTGAAATGAAACATTGACAGTTTTGAGGCCGTCAGTGTATCAGTTATGGAACGATGCCGTAACAGAAGTCGGGTGGATTCTGAGAACGTCAATGAAACTGGTAAAAGTGTCGGAACCGGCACTGAACATGGAAATGTTTCAGTACTCCTGATGAAGCATTGATGTAGTGGTGGACAATGACTGAATCTGTTNTCGATTTTTTAGTAAAATACTGACCAGGATTTTAAATTACTGAATTTTATATCAATAATATAATATATGACTGTAATAGAATAAGATAAGTATACTTAGTGACCAATGGCAATAATTTATATTAGATAGTTGTCTACATTTGATGCGGACTTGTGCGGCATCTGCCGTAATTCTTGATATTTATGATCTTTGAACTGTTAAGTCTTTTTTACGGTACTACATGTTAAGTTTACGTGCAGTTTTATTATTCGCTAATCTTTTTACATGAGACCATGTAGCTGCATTATCGACGTGCAAATGAAAACCGTCCGCTGCTTCTGTCTAACGTCAATCGCCTATTTTTGCCTCATTTTTCTGGTTCTTTCTGTAACTAAACTATATATATACATATTATACTATCTTTCTAAATCCAGTTATTTTTACAAAATAACATGATCTATTTACAAATAAAATAAAAGAAAATGACGAGTGATTCAAGTAAAGATGACTCAGAAAGCGAGATATCTCATCTTAGTGAGTCAAGTGATGTTTCTGAGAAGAGTGACACCTCATCTGATAATGAGAACGACGAAAACACTTGGAATTGGAACTACAGTATTCCAAAGAGAAGATTGAAATCATTCATTGATAAATCTAACGTATTAATTGGTTTTTTGCTGTATATTTTGTGTATTTTTGTACATACTATATCGTAAATAAATTTATTTCTTACTTCACTAACCTAGTTTTCGAGAACTCCCAAAAGTTTTGATTGATATACCAATAACACTTAGTAGTCCTCTCAAATATAACATCTCAAAGAAATTTCATTCATTGGCTAAGTCATAGTACTTAAAGGGTTAGCAAAGTATTACCTTTTGAGTTCTTATTTCACTGTGTCGTGAGGAAACTAATAGAATGAAAACGGTCATCCGATAGTTGATATGCTTGGTTAGTTGTTAGCAAAGCTGTATGAAAAAAAGAGTTTGCTATTGTAATCAAAATCTTGATATTGTTGATATTTTCTGTCGTTAAAGT